GTGGACAGTAGTGGTATCTATGACCAAGTATGAGCTTTGTGGATCTGTTGAGGGGATTGTGGGTGAAGTTGAGGGCACCTCAACTGTGGGTCTGTAGAGTCTCCAGGTCTGCCCCATGCTCCGCAGTTTACTTCCCGAGGTGGACATGGGTCTCCTTGCTGGGGGTGGGCAAGGAATGGGTCCCACCATGCTTGGCTGGGCTGAGGAGGGTGAACCAGTTGCCTGCAGGTCCCTTGGGTTCCCCTTTGGCTCTTCTCTCATCCTCGGTGGGAAGGTGACCTTGTAGGGAATGTGGTTGCTCATAATTAACAGCTGAACCGTTTTTATAGATGGACAAATGATGGAGTTGAGTTTTAGCCAGAACACTTTTTCTGCAGCTCTCTATTTGATTCCTTGCCCGAAAGGACTTTGTAAAATAAACTAGGTTTTTTTTTTTTAATGGTATTAGTTTAAAAAAAAAGAAAAAAGGAGCTGTTCTAGAGAGTGTGTGTGTGTGTGTGTTACTGCTCTTTACTGACCACTGCCAGCTCGCAGTCATCCGGCTTAAACAGAAACAGGACCACAAACCAAGTTCGTTAAAGCTAATGACAGGGGGGCTCTTAACTGGATTTGGAATCTGGAAGAGCCTCTGAAGGGTTCTACCCTCGTGTAATTGAATCCATTGGTTCTGATCTATCTGATAGACTAATTTAATTCTGGGCGCTGAGGGTCTCTGGGTCGGCCGGGCGATGTGTGGCTCGGTAGGGGCTGGCCTGGATGAATAAGAGTCTGCTTTTAATATAAACTGTCATTAATCCCTTGGAGCTCCCTCTCCCCCGCAGTCGGTAGCGCTGTGTGGCAAGGAAAAGGGAAAGAAATGACCACGCTGGGGGTGAAGGGGCTATGAAATGGAGATAGAAGGAGAAAACCTGTTGTAGCCAGGGCAAGTTTCTGTCTTTGCTCAGCTCTGGTTTCACAGCCCTGTTTTGCCTTGGACTGGAGTGGGGAGAGAGGGAAAGAATATATCTGATAGCTTGTGTGACGGGAAAGCAGTGAAGGATCCTGTCTTGTTCTGCCTTGACTGTGTAGGGGACCACAAAGCTGACCTTGCAGTGAGTAAAGCAGATGCCTGGTGGCTCTGTCCTCGCCCTTCCCACACGCCACGTGGCTTCAATCAATGCTCCAGCAACTTTGGGGTTGAAAAAAAATATGCACAAGGGGTTGGTGAGCTGACATCTGTGGTTTCCTTAAGATTTGGGTCCTACATCCATGAGGAAGGCCGTAGGGTTGGAGGAGAACGTGGCCAGCAGGGCTGTGCTGGTTCGCTCTCCAGGCCGTGTGGATGCTGTCGCAGGGGAAGGAACGCTCTTTCCTTGGTTATTTCCTAATATTTGTGGATGGCTTCAGCTAAACCACGGGATCTTCTGCTGGAAAGATGCTGCATTTGGGATGGAGTTTCTGATTAGCTGATCTAAGGGCAGCAGGGACAGGGCTTGTCCTCCCTCGGATCCCATTCCCAGTGGTTCCCCACTCAGCACCGTGCTCTGTAGACCTCAGGGGAGGTCAGTGCAGCTCCATGATCTGCCTGAAAACTACTCTAGCACCAAAAAAACCCCCAAATTGGTGCAATTCTGATGCACGCGGTCCATGTGTGTGTAGTGTGTCCATGTGGTGAGCTTTGTCCAGCTTGCAAGTCTTCCCTCAGACCAAGAGCCAGCAGCTTCCCAGGCTCCCATGGCACTGAGCAGAGGGCACAGGCTGGTCCCCAAGGTCACCTGGGCAAGGACATGCCAACTGGCCACACCGGAGAGCTTGCCATAATACTCCAGGTCCAGCCTGCCCCTGCTGTGGATGAGCAGCCCTGGCTGCTTCCCTGCTCTCCCCATTTGAAGCCTGATTTCCCTCCGCCTCGAAGGCAGCAAAACCACTGCGATTTAATTGGCAGCGTGTTTTTAATTTGTTCCAGACTCTGCAGGCTCACTCGGTGCACATTAGCGTTTCTCCCGATGACAACAGCTTCATCGCAGCCTGTCCCCTTCAGGTGCTTTGCTCTGATGACTTTGCACAGAGCTTTTGCTGCTTGTTTTCCTCAATCTCCCTGAATTTTACCCAGACTCTGGGTACTGTTTAGGAAGCACAGGTTTTATCTTCCTTTGCACTCCGGGGCTGTGATGGTAACGAGCTCTCCTGGAGATGGAAGGAACCGTGGGCTGGGCAGTGCCCAGGGGAAAATCTGAGGGCATTTAATTGCTAAAGGCAGCTCGAGGGAGCTGGCTGGAGATGAATTAGGGTTGGCTTTTCCTTTTCTAAATCGCTTCTTCCTTCTCTTGTGTTTTATGCATTTTACCCTCCAGTTGCATCCAGGGGTTTTTCCAGTCTGCGAGGCAGGACAGACCACAGGTCCTTGTTAGGGGTGTCTGGGGAAAGAGGGGCCGACTGGTCACCTCTGGTCTTTGCTTTCCCACTTCCTATCTCTGTTGCCTTTGCTTTTTTGTCTTTTCTGCCTCATCCTGACCTTTCTCAACCCTTCCTCCTTGGTGCTAGGTTGCCACTTGCCTACTTAACACCTACCATAGACACCGTTCTTTAGAAATAGGGCTATCGATGCCATTTGGGGCATAAAAATCCTGGTGATAGAGGAATCCTGGTCCTTTGGCTTGGGATGTGTGCTACGTGGCCAGAGGAGCAGAGTAACATGGACACATCAACTGCCGTTGCCTCTGCCTTTGGGGGCCTCAAGTCTCTGTCTGGGTGAAAAATTTGTGTTAAGGGCTGAGGAAGTGGGAATATCCTTGTTTTTCCAGAAGCCTCTATACACAGAGACTTGTCTTGGCATAGAAAAATATTGAGCTCACTCTTTGGGGGTGAGTATCATGACTTCAAGGGGAGTTGGAGGTGGTTGGCACTGAGCCCGTCTTGGTAGCAACTGTAGGGATTAGAAGGCAACAGGAGTCAGGTACTGTGAGACCTGGATGTAGCCGAGGGTGGGTTCCTCTGGTACCTACACATAGTCTTAGGCCCATCCCTCGTGTATTTACCTCCCCCAACAGCTGAGGGACCAACGAATGTGGGTGCATTATGGGCCAGGCCATCCTCCTCCTGTGGGTGTGACAGTGAAGATGTCCAGGGGTTGTGCCCATGGCTGGTATCAGCAGTAGGTTTTGGCACTGCTAATTTTTCAGGAGGATGCTCATTTGCCCTGGTTAGAAATTCTTGTGGGGAAAGTCTTTTTGGGGTAGATTTTAGAAGGGGAAAAAAGGTTGTCAAAATACTTTATTTTGATATTCAAAAAAAAAACCAACACACTTTTTCTGATTTGAGATGGGGTTTAGCTTTTAAAATCACTTGCAAGTGAAAGATTGAAATCAAAGTAAATTATAACAAATTCTATATAACAAACAAAGAGAGGACCCTCCAAAAAAAAGTTTTCATAATTGGGAGCAAAGCATTTCCACTGTTTTTAAAAACAACTCTTCAAATTTGACATTTGAAAATTGAAAGATGAAAATTTTCACTTTTCCTCCCCACTTGGCATGGGAAGAGTTGGGAATTCTTCAATGCGATGGCGTGGCATCTGGCAGCAGAGCAAAGGCTTCAGCAGCTCCTGTTGCCTTTGGAGGTCCTCTGCCTCCCAGGGCCCTCCAGAAGTGGGGTTTGGCTGCAATACTCTTGGGTCCTTATCTGCAGAATCATTGGTTCTGGCAGGGAAATTGTTGTTTTTTCTGCTTGCTGTTCACGCAAATCCATGTTGGTGCTCCCAAGCAAGTATCTTGGGTCTGTGGTGTGGGACAGAACTGGAGTTGAGTAATGGGTTCAATTGACAGAAGATAGGATGAGAGAGATGCTTCCTATGTCCTTGTACCTCTCTGCTCCTTCTGTAGCCCCGCAAGTCAAGCGTGGGCCTGCATCTCCCTCTAGTGACTTCTCACAGACTATGTCTCCATCAGCTGCACAGCACCAGACCCAAGGAGCCACCAGCCAGGGCTGAGGTCCCACCAGCTCTTCTCGGTGCCACGCACTGGGTTGTCTGTGCCCTGTGGGGCTCAGTGGGAGCTCAGGCTCTGAGCAGGTGTTGGTGGGCATGCGGGGCTGATGGAGATACTACCAGGAGAGGTGAAGGTCCTTCACACCCACCAACCAACCCAACCCTAGGTCTGTACATGGGTGGCCCAGTGTGCCAGCCCAGTCTGAGACACTGACTCTGGTGCTAGATGTAAAAGTGATTTTTTAAATGCAGGAAACTCTCTGAAGTTTAACTCCTTTTTCACACCTGACACTTAGGATGACTTTAGATATTTCTACTGACGTTGCAGTTTTCCTCCACTGGGAGTTTTCCTCCACTGGTGGGTGGTGCCTGGTCTCTGCTGATGGTTGTAGGGTTGAAAGAGCCATTGAGACCCGCACTGTCCTGCAGGGGCTAATTAAGGTGACCGCTGAAGACAGAGCGAGTCCCTTGCCAGCCACTGCCTTAAATTAATTGTCTGCAGGCGTCCAGGAGGCTCCACCTGGGCTTGTGTCTCTCTTCCCAACACTTGGAGGTTTGCCAGGTTTGCAGCTACTTGGCTGAGTGCTGCAAGCTCCTGTACCGTTCCCCAAGACCACCAGGAGCCTCCAAATATGCCCAATCAGCAAAATTAAAGGCCAAAGGGACAGACCGATCCCCGGTGTGACTCTTTGCATTTGCTTGAATTGTTTTAGTAATTGCTCTCAGGCTTGGATTTCTATCATGAGGCTCTGGGCTCTTCTCTTGATGCCCCTCCAGCATAGAAAATGGTGTTGGGGGATCATTGCAGTGGGACTCTGAGAAGGAGGTTCATGTTGGTGTGGCCCAGGCCAACAACGGGCTCATGTCCTTGGCGAAGGGCGAGTTGGGACTCCTGCCTGGGGCTGCCTCATCCCCCACAGCAGCAGTCACGCACCTGGGAAATTAAGAAGCACAAGTGCGTTGAGCAGGGAAGTAGGGAAAAAAAAGTGAAAATCTGAAATTTCCTTTTTTTTTTTTCATCCTTCTTACTTTGCAGGACCCCAGACTCACCAGTTCAGATTTGGCCCTGGGGCCACCTTGGACGTGGGAGAATGCCCAGGAGACCCTCAGCCTTCAGCCTGATGGAGCCCTGATTTCTCTCTCTCCTACCGAGATGCCATCGGCTGAGGAGGAGGAAGAGGGAAGCCTTTCTATTGAGGATGAAGGCTTTGAGCTGCTGAATTCCACCTATAATAAAATCACCGGCCCTGGCAGGCCAGGGTTTGGCAGGAGCAGCCCATGGGTTGTTGATAGCTCTGGTGAGTCTCTAGTTATGGCTTCCTCCATTTCTCCTGCTCACCATCACGATGCCTGGTGATACCTGATGGTGCTTTTATCCACCCAGGTCCCTCCATCAAAACACAAAGAGCAGCCAAGAAGGAGCGTGCCTCTGACCCCTGGGAGGAGAACGTCACCACAGAGAAGCTGACGGGTGACACAGGCACCCGGCGGCAGCTCTTGCCCAGCAAACCTGGCGATGCCATCACTGATCTGGATGTGCCTGCCACCTTCACCAAGGTCTCCCCATCGGGACATCAGGCAGCTGCCCCAAAAGGTCCACTGGGGACGGGGTCAGCGGTGGGTGTTCCGGAGTCTCCTCTGGTAGCACCCAGCCCTGCTGTCCCAGGGCTTGGGGACAGCGTTGCCCACCCAGGACATCCCATCCCACCAGTGGCACATGGGCAGCATGGTCATGTGAAGCCAGGGCCACCAGGGCTGCCAGGACCACCAGGGCTGCCGGTGAGTGGTGGAGGCGATGACTATGGGAGGAGAGGGATAGGTGGTGGTGCAACTTCTCCTCCAGAGTGGGTGGTGGGCACAGGCCAGCAGCTGGCCATGACAAACTGAGCAGGGAAACCTTCTCCATGAAGGCAGCGTGGGGCTGTGCACCAGCCTGGCCCTGTGAGAAGGTTTTTTGATGTCCCTGAAGAAACTTGACTGGCAACTGGAGACATGATTCCCTTGTCCCTCCACCCTAGAAGTCCTCTCAAATCATATAACCACGCTGTCAGTTTTCATTTCACCCTGGTCCTGCCCAGAGGCAGGTTGAGGGGCTCAGAGGGGGCTAAGCCACTTCCTCCAGCCCCTGTCCCCCAGCATCAGCCTGTGGTCTCCTTTGGCATCACTGTCCTTTGCTTCTCTACCCCAGAGATGTCCAGCATCACCCTGTGACCCCCTCTGGCATCTCTGTCCTTTGCTTCTCTACCCCAGAGATGTCCCAAAATTTGAGGCGGTTCCAAGTAGAACGTTGAATTTGTCGTGAAATAAATTTTTGATTATTTTTCAGATGATTCATCCATCGTAGTAGAAGAAAAAAGGGAAATTAAAAAAAAAATTAGTAAATTTAGAAGAGATAAATCTTTAGAGCAGTCATCAGTCTTCATTGAGAAGTAGCTGAAAAATGTTTTTACATATTTTCCCACGTTTATTTCTTCTGCCAAAATGTTTTCCCTAATTTGGTTAAATATTCTTAAGAATTCCTCCAGGAAATTGCATTTCATTTACCCTGTGCTGCTGCCAGAAGTGACCACGGGCACCTTCTCCTCCCTCCCTGGGCAGACACCCACATGGAAGCCCTCTGGGATGCCCTGAGCTTGGGGGCTGCCCTGGGGGGTTCATCCGGATGCTGAAGGGCCGGTCCCCACACACGGCTGTTTTTATGGCTGTGTTTGAGGGACCCGACACTAAATTCATCATCAAGGAGCCAGGCTTTGTAGGATAATGGTTAAATTTAGGACGGTTAGCTTCCCCCTCAAACCATCTCCTTGCTGCTGCAGCTATTGCCTGCAAAAATAGAAGAAAATGGCAAAAGGAACAGATGCTGAAGGATGAATAAATCTCGGGAGTGGAGGAAGCGTCATGGCATGTGACAGCCCTGCTGTCAGCCGGCAGGAGGGGACCCAGCTGGGAGGGAATTGCTGTTTTTCCCCCCTGTAGAAAAAATTGAGATGGATTTTCTCTTGGTCATGAGCATCCTGGGTGGAAACACAGATAGAGGCAGCTCTATCCCGCTGTGAGGAGTTTGAGTTTGAGGTGCTACAAGGGGATGTAGGCTTGAAACTGCATGGTTAGAGCTATTATTTCAGCTAAAATTATGTTCTGAACCTGCCAACCTTTCCTGATGTTTTATTACTGCTCCTCAAAGCTGAAGACAGGCTCTGCCCTTGCTGCTGGTCTCCAAAGGTCCTCCTGCCTCCTTGGTTCTTGTCCCACCAAGCCCTATCCTGAGCCATGGTAGGGTTTGGGCACATAGAGACCAGTTATGCACCTTCAGGTTCCTTAGATGGTCTCCAACCTGATCTTCTCCTACAGTGGGTGGTTCTTCCTTCTCATAACCACTGTATTTGCCTTCTGCGACTCGGGCAGTGTGGTTAGAGCCCTTGCCGATGAAGACCAAGGTGAAAAAGTAATTCAGTACCTCAGCCTTCTCCATATCCCAGGTGACCAGGACTTTTTACTGGGCTCAGAGAAAAGCTGTTTGGGAGCTCCAAACAAAACCAGGGGCTGTAATTGAAGCCAACAGGAGGTGCAGCTCTGCAGCAGCCGCTGTGCTGCAGCCCGGCCTGTTACTTGTCTCTGCTGACATCTCCCAGGTAGTTTTCTTTCATCAAGAAAAATCCAGGATCTCCCATTTGACTTTATTTCTGTCCAGACAGATGCTTCGTTAAGCCCTGGAGAGGGGTCACCGCTTGGCCAAAACGTGCACTTTGGACTGGAGATGGGGCTAGATCAGATCTCGCACAAGTTAGAAGCCACAGATGTTTACATCCTCATCCAAACTACTGTTTGAGTGTGTGGCTGTGATCCAGCTTTATCATTTCTTCTTTTTTTTTCCTAATGCACTGCCTTTCCTCTCCAGGTGTCAGGAAATGTGCTCCTGCTCCCTGGCCATATGGTCTGGGCCGTTTCTGTGGTGGATGGATGCTGCAGGATTATGCTGCTCGAGCAGAGCTGCTTTCTGATGCAGGAAAGGGGAAAGGGAACCACATCAAATGGGGCGCATCTTCCACCCCACCGCTCCTCGGGGTGTTTCGTTGAGACTTGGTGCTGCTGTTTTTTGCTCTGAATTAGCTCTTTCAGTTCTTGCTTCCCTGGGGCTGGGATGGCCCTGGCCGTGGCACTGGTCACCCAGCCACCCTGGTTGTGAGGTGTCCCCCTTTGGGGTGTCACTGTTCTCCTCCTTTGCCTTTCAGGGCTGTCCTGGGAGACGTGGACTGGTGGGACCCAAAGGAGACAAAGTGAGTATCCAGGAAAACGCGGGAAAGTACAGGTGTAGGGTCCGGAGCAAAGACCATGGATGGTTTGGGTTGATTTGGGTGTTTTCCATCAAGAGGGCAGTGTGAGCTTCTGAAGCTGCAGTCTGGTGGCCCTTTATGTGTGTTTGGAAAAGGAAAGGACTGTTTTTACTGGTATTTTAAGGCCAGGCTCAGGACTGAGATGGTGGCATGGACAAGCTGGTTTCTCTCCTCTGAACCACTTCATGACTCTGCAAAAGTGACAGACCAGGGGGATGAAGCACCTTTAGCTCAGGTCACCTGGAGGAGGGATGCTGGCGTATCCCAAAGTGCTATATCCGCCAGCTCCACTTGAAGGCACATCTGTCCTCCAACACCATGTTGGTGAGACCCATGGCTGTCCTTCCTGCTCCAGGAACCTGGTGTGGAGCAGCCAGCTCAGCACAGCTCGGTCTCCTACTGCAGCCAGCATTGCCCAGTGCACTGACAGGTGCTTGGAGATGCTCTGGATTAAGGGTGGTGCCTCAGTTTCCCCATTGGTAAACCAGTGAGCGTGCTCCCAACCACAGCAGTTTCCATCTTTCCTGAGCTGCAGAGGGGCAAACTCGTTGCCCCAGGAGTCATGTCACTTCTGTGTGCATCAGCTCTGATACCTGTGGCCTTTAGATGGGTCTGGGCACAGGCATGTCCACGTGAAGCTCATTCCTTTTGCTTTCCCTGTTGTCAGGGTTATTTTATAGAATCGTAGAATGGTTTGGGTTGGAAGGGACCTTAAAGATCATCTTGTTCCACCCCCTGCCCTGGGCAGGGACACCTCCCACCAGACCAGGTTGCTCCAAGCCCCCTCCAACCTGGCCTTGAACCCCTCCAGGGATGGGGCAGCCACAGCTTCTCTGGGCAGCCTATTCCAATGCCAGTTATTTAGGTCTTAATTAAGAGCTGGTTTGAACCCAGGAATGTGCCCAGACCCAGAGGCTGACCCGAGTCAGAGCCTGTGTCCACCCTGTGTTGACTGTTCAACCCCAGCTGATTTTAAGGAGCTGCCCTTGTCTCCCTAGGGATACCCCGGAGCCATGGGGCGGACGGGCCCCCCAGGTGACCCAGGCCCTGTGGGCATCCCTGGTGTCCCCACCATCGTCCTCTGGAGGAACTCCAGGGAGGACTGGCAGACATTCACGGTGAGTTATGGCCACAGCGGGCGAGCGCTCGGGGAGCTCCTCTTGCACTTCCCATGCAGGTACCGTTCTCCTCTGCTGGGATGGGAGCTGGGAGGAAGGGTCTGTGATGGTTGGTGGTTCCTAATCTGTTGGGTAGGAGTATGGAGATGGGTAGGAAGGTGGGGGCAGAGGGAGGATGCCAAGGAGAGAGGTGCTGCTCACTGGGACAGCTCTGCAGGCAGCTCTCCTTGGCATCACGTGTGCCCTGCTTACATTTGTGCTCACATGGCCATCCCTCTTTCCCTTCTGACTGGGAGATCTTATATTCCCGTGGTCCACACACAGCCTCCCAAGGGTAGTTCATGCCCTCCCTCTGAAGGACAGGGCCCAAAGAAGATGGTGACTCCACTACCTCCCTGGGCAGCCCATTCCAAGGCTTAATAACCCTTTCAGTGTAAAAATTGTTCCTACTCTCCAATCTGAACCTCCCCTGGAGCAACTTGAGGCCATTTCCTCTTGTCCCATGGCCTGTTCCTTGGGAGAAGAGACCGACCCCCCCTGGCTACACCCTCCTTTCAGGGAGTTGAAGAGAGCGAGAAGGTCTCCCCTCAGCCTCCTTTTCTCCAGGCTGAACACCCCCAGCTCCCTCAGCCTCTCCTCACCAGACTTGTCCTCCAGACCCCTCCCCAGCTCCGTTGCCCTTCTCTGGACCCGCTCCAGCAAAAAAGGGCCCTCAGGCTTTGCTGTTCTGCAGGCAGAACCCTTCCTGTCCAAGGACGTTGCTGCAGAATGTGATTTCTTTGGTGCACCACCACCACCTTGGATGCTGAGGCGTTGGGAATGATGGAGGGAGCAGACGCTCTGGGCTGTGTTTGGGAAGCCGAACCCGGGGGGCTCTGGGCTCCTGGCCAGTGCTCCCGGCGGGTTTGCCTGGTGTTTTTTGGCCAAGTGCCTATCTGGAGGGGAAGGCGGTGTCTGGCGAGGATGACGTGGGGCACCCGAAAGCCTTGCCTGGGCTATTGTGTCTGTGGCCGTATGACCCCGGCGGTGCCGGCGGCGTTTGGCTCGGCAGCAGGAAACGGGAGTGCAAAGCCACGGGGTTGGGTTTTGCTAATCTTTGTTGAGATAGCCCAGGGGTGACAAGCTGGGGGCTGGCTGCTGTGAGGACAGGGGGGGCCGTCTGCTCCTGCGGCCCCCTACAACTTACCAGGGGGTGGGGAGGGATGGAGATAGGCTGTGGCTTGGGATAGGGCTGCTCTTGTGAACCTAGTGCTTGTGATCTGGGGGGCTTTGGGGGGATGGCATCCTGGGCTTGTTGGCTCAGCCTCTGAAAATGAGAGTCAGAGGAGGCACCTCTCAGGCCAGGGGATGTAACGCAGTGTGATGGACCAGAAAAGCAAGGGACATCCCTGACTGTCCCAGAACGGGGGATGTTGGGATGCTCAGTAGCCTCTCCAGCTCCTTCCCAGTGAAACAAGCCTTTGGTGTTCATGGGAATTGAGCAAAACCAGTTTATGAGCACTGGGGTCCTGCCCCAAGCCCCTGTCCTGCTTTTTTTGTTGACAGACGTTGGGTTTGCCAAGAAGTTGTCTCGGTGTGACTCGAGGGGCAGGAACTGTTGCTGTCTTGTTCTGGCAGCCTTGACTTTGGTAGCGGTGGAGTCCCAGAAGCTGGGAAAGGAGGAAAGAGAACAGAACCTCCTGTAGGGAAACAGGGATGGTAACCTTAGAGCAAAAGAAAATATTGCCCCATGCAAAAGGGAGGTAACCTTTAGGGACTGCCTGCTACTCAAAGGTCAGCAGCTCATGTAGCTCTGTGTGGCTTTATGGCCACAGGGTGGGCTGGGGATGGTGGCCACAGGGTGGGCTGGGGATGGTGGCCACAGGGTGGGCTGGGGAGGTGGCCAAGCCCATGCTGCAGGGCAAGCCCTGCTCCCTGCTGAGCTGTTGGGAGGGTTTTAGCTGTCCTGCTCTCAGGCTGGAGTTTTGCAGGAGGACAGATCCGTAGGGTGATCACTCCCTACATCCTCCATCCCCTCCGTTTTCGGTCCCTGTCCCTACTGTCCCCATCATGCCCTGCCGACTGGGGGTGCAGCGAGCAAAGCCTCGGCTATTTCCTGCTGAAATTGCAGAAGGCAATTAATTTCTCTTCTCTCTCCTTGGCATCTGGTGCTCCAAAGTAAGAGTTCACGTCTCCTGTGGGATTTCCCCCTCCTCTTTCTAAAAGGTTGCTTTTTTTTTTTCTTGAAACCTAATGAAATAATATCCTTTCCCAAGTGAACCTGAGTTCACTGATTCCTGAGACAAGGCAAAAGCCTTGGCCGGGCTCCAACCCCTCCCCGAAAAGTTTTTGTGAGCAGCTTTTGAGAGAAATGAGAACTGGCTGGACATGAGGACCATGGCCTGGCCCTGGCAGGCTGGCAGGGACTGCGCCCGTTCACTCACAGTCATCAATTTGGGATCAACTTGAAAGGAACCGAGATGCCTGGTACGGTATTAGAGTCAGTTAAATGCATCCATCCATCATCTGCCCCCGAAAGCCCGGTTTATTATTAGAAATATTTCCATATGTTGAAAGGTCTGTGTTTATTTTCGTTAATGAGTTCCTTGGCTTTTTCCCTTCTCTCTCCTCTGGTACCAGAGGATGGATCTTTGGCGGGGCAGGGGGGAGAGATGACAACAGGACAGGAGGGGGTTTCCCGGTGCCCCGAGGCTGAAGCTGGGGAGCACGTGGGAATCCTGCCCCTCCAGCTGCTTGGGATTGGGGTGAGGAACAAGGAGGGGGGGCTTTTCTCAGCCTTTGATGCAAGCCAGGATTTGGAGGAGCTGCCTGGGCCATATGTCTGGCCTCGCTGTGGGGAGGAGGAGAAGGAGGAGGAGGAAAGGTGGGTTTTGCCTCCTGAGTGACTGTGGTTTGTGCTGCTGGGAAGGCAGGAGATGGTGGCTGGTAGCTGGAGATGGGCGTCGTTGTGTTTCCTGGTCATCTCCCCAAACTTGGAGAAACCTGGTTTGGAAATGTGTGAGGAGGAGGCTGCACCATGAGTTTTTAGAACCTTTAAGCTGGCTTTGAAATACGTTGGGATTATCTGTGGCTACGATGGGATTAGCCCATCCTGTGGCTTTTTGGTGTATTTTTTTTTTTTTTTATCTCTTTGTGGTCATCTGATCTTCTAAAAAAATTGGACTTATGTGAAAGATTTGGCTGCCAGGAGCAGTAAGGAGAAAGCCTGCTGGCCACAACTGCTAGGGCATCATCCCCCTCTAGGGCTTCAGATGGGGCTGGATGGGATGAGGTTTCCCACCTGGGGCAAACTTCAGTGTCAAAAACAGCTGGTTTTAGTCAAACCTGAGCTAAATATGATGGTACCTGCACTCACCAACAACACATTTCTGACCTCTCCATGTGCAAAACATTCCAGGTGTCCCGAGGCTGCTGGGACATCCATGGGGGAGCTGAGTTTCAGCAGACTTCACAAGTGGGGTCTCTGTCTTCCTTTGCTAATGAGGCCAGCAGTTCCTTATCTCCTACACATTGTCCTCAGATTAAGCCCTGTCCTGTGACTTGCATACACATCATATAAAAAAAAAAATAAATTAATTAGACGACTGGCTCATTGCTGTGTCTTCCCAAGCAACAGGAAAAAGACTTTGAAGCCAGAAGAAAGGGATTTAGGGTTTTTTTTTTTAACATTTTGCTTTCTACCCTTTTCTCTCCCCCCGTTCTCCTTTCAGCAATCATCGTTTTACCAGCTCCTACACGCAGGCTGGCCGGTGAGTATCGCTGTTGAGCAATTTTCTGTTGGTTTGGGGTTTTCTCAGCTCGCTCGGCCGGGTTTGCCTCTCTCCAAGCACTTCATCAGTGAAATTTCTTTCACTTTTTGGTTTATCTCTTCCAGAGAAAACCCGGTGCGCCGCAATCATCGTTTTACCAGCTCCTACACGCAGGCTGGCCGGTGAGTATCGCTGTTGAGCAATTTTCTGTTGGTTTGGGGTTTTCTCAGCTCGCTCGGCCGGGTTTGCCTCTCTCCAAGCACTTCATCAGTGAAATTTCTTTCACTTTTTGGTTTATCTCTTCCAGAGAAAACCCGGTGCGCCCGGGCCCCCAGGACATCCTGGGAAAACAGGAGCACCCGTAAGTAGGAAATCCTCTCTCCAAGCACTTCAGCAGTGAAATTCCTTTTACTTTTTGGTTTATCTCTTCCAGAGAAAACCCGGTGCGCCCGGGCCCCCAGGACATCCTGGGAAAACAGGAGCACCCGTAAGTAGGAAAAACCCCAGTGTCCCCTCCGTGACGGGGTGCTGATGGCCCCGCTGTCACCCCGACCAGGCTGGGGCATCTTGCAGAGTCAATGTCCCCTGTCCCACAGCACAGTCCTGGGCTGCCCCGAACAGGATCCACTGCCTGGTGGCTTCTGGCATGCTGTAATTAAGGGTCTTGGGATTGGATTTCAAAGAAACCTAATGGTTTGCTTGTCTGCTTCCCACCAAAAACTGGGTTTTGATATCCAACTCCCTGGGTTTTGTTGGCAGACACGGCCCCCGCCCCTCTGTCTCTGCCAGCTGAATGGCGCTGGCTTATCTCCCCCAGGGCATGGGGTTCCTGCCCCCTGTGTTTGGACAGGGGCCATGTGGATCCCTCCCAGAGGCACAAAACCAAGCTGGAGAACGGCTGATGCAGTACTTGTGGGGGGCCAGCCCCACACCAGGGGGTCTGCAGCCCCCTGCCCACGCAGCCCCTGGGTTTGCTGGGTGATGCTTCCCACCCAGCTGGCCTCTGCCAACGGGGCAGTGCCAGGAGGTAGGACAAATGAAGGGAAAACTCCCCATCCTCACCTCCAGTAGGGCACTAAAGCCAATGAGGAACCAGGTCTGTTGCCACCTCCAAACCTGCCCTGACCACAGAGCCCAAAGCCCAAAGGGAGGGGGGTGTCCAAGGGATGCGAATCGTCCCGTTCTGCCCTTCCTGAGGCCACCTCTGCGCATTGCATGTTGTCCCCCTCATCACAGCCTCCACTAGGTTGTCCTCAGCACGGGGTGGGATGGTGGGGACATGTTTGTTGACTCGATTCCTGTTTGTGTGCAGGGACCCTGCGGAGAGCCAGGGGAGCCGGGGGAGAAAGGCCAGCGGGGGTACACGGTGAGTGGGGGGGCTGGTGGGGACACCTGGCTGTGGGGGGATGAAGGACTTGGCTCTGGGGAGAGCCCAGTTTGCAGAGGTTGGTTGTGTCCCTGGGGCTCTCCTGGGGACCCTTGGAGACCCTGTCCCTCTTGGATCAAACCCTGGAGCGCTGGATGAGGAAGAATCATTTGATGCCAGTTTGGGAACCGTGCAAGTTTGAAGGGTCATGGAATCATAGAATGGTTTGAGTTGGAAGGGACCTCAAAGATCATCTAGTTCTACCCCCTTGCCCTGGGCAGGGACACCTCCCACCAGACCAGGTTGCTCCAAGCCCCCTCCAACCTGGCCTTGAGCCCCTCCAGGGATGGGGCAGCCACAGCTTCTCTGGGCAACCTGGGCCAGGCTCTCACCACCCTCAGAGGGAAAAATTTCTTCCTGAGATCTCATTTAAATCTCCCCTCTTTCAGTTTGAAGCCATTACCCCTCGTCCTATCATGACATGCCCTTGTAAAAAGTCCCTCCCCAGCTTTCTTACAGGCCTCCTTCAGGTACTGGGGTGGTGGGAGGTGATGCCCTGGTCCTCTCTCTGGGGACCTTGCTGTGGCTGGCAGGGGTGACCTCCATGGCAAGCTTGTTCCCCTGACCAGGTCCATGCTGCAGCTTCTCTCACCCTGTTTTGCAGTGCCCTACTCCAGCAGGTTCATGGGTTCAACACAGTCCTTTTAGGTGATGGACTCTGCCATTTGTCACCTGATGGCTTCCCAAGCAGGTGGTCACAAGCTGGAAGGGTTGTCCCAACAGCATTCTGTCCTTTTGTCACCTTTTGGAAACCACCCAGCTCCTTCCCCATGGCTCTGGCTGGAGGGACATGTGAGCTCTGCCCGTGTTCAGCGATGGGTGCAGTGCACCCTCATGGGACCCAGCCACCTCCCTGGGGACAGAGGGAGCACAGCTGCCTGTGGGGTTATGATGCCCCCATGGGTAAAAGGAGAGGAGAGCAGATGACCCAGTCTCTCAGCATCATTGGAGATTTCCACCTGCTCTCCCACCTGTGCTTGCTGGTACCCAGCCCTCGTGGGAAGAGCTGGTGCATCCTCAATCTTGTCCCTGATGCTCAGGTGTCCCCCGAGCACCCCCTGCCTCTTGCTCATTTGTCTTGGCTGCTGCTGGACTGCTCTGAAGGGACATCAGCTCCCATTCCTGCTGCTCCTCATCTCCCATTCCTGCTGCTCCTCATCTCCCTGCTCATCCAGCTACTGGAGCAATCATCTTCCTTCAGCCCTCCAGTGTTTACCATCCTGGAGAGCATCTCCCCAGCAACCTTGACCACAGCACCCTCATCCCCTTGGCTCCCTCTCAGCAATGACCTTCCTTTCCTCCTGTCGTCTTCTTTGCCATCGTGACTGTCTCTCCAAAACTGGGGTGGTTTTTGGTCTGGCTTGAGAAGAGGAGCCAAGGACGAGCTGGGCTTACAGGGATCGAAGCTGGAGGAGGATTTGGACAGGCTGTTGAGCAGGACCCAGGCTGGTTCCTGGCAGCTGTGTTGAACCTTCAAGTCCCAAAAGTTCATGGCAAAAGTTAGACTTGATACTTTGAGCAAGAACTGCAGCTACTCCATCAGGAGCTGTGTGTCTGCTCTCCATCACACGTCCTGCTGCCAGGTCCCCTCTCACCCCCGGCCCCACTCCCTTGCAGCAGGGATGCACCTCGGGGATGGTGTTTTACCAGCTGCCAACATCTGGAAGGCGTCACTGACTCTGTTAAGCCGGTTGAGTGTAAACACTGGAGTCTGTTGGCGTAGCTTAATCATCAGGTGCCAAAATTATTCTCCGTCTTTGCATAAACAGGATCTGCGAGGGGCGGCAGCAGCTCTGTGGGGGTGGGGATTAGCACAGAAATGGAAAAGAGCAAATTTTTTCCACCCATCACAGTCCATCTGCAAGCCTGATGTCTGGGGTTTGGGGGGCTGTGTCATGGCCACATCCCTCTGCTCTCACTTTAGCATCTTCCAGAGGCTTTGCACAGCAGGTTCCCAACAGGGAAACCCAACTCAGCGTTGGACTCTGCTCTTGACCAGTCTGGGTTGATTTTGGTTAAGGTTCACCATTCTACTAGACCTTGGCCCAAGAGGTCTTTGGTGCCCATTCAGGCTCTGCCAGGTCTCGACTCCTACCCAGGTGAGGCCAATGGATGGCAGAAGGGGTGAGGAAGAGGAGGAGGGATTTCATCCATCTGCCTCAGCCCCTGAGCTCATGGTTGGGTTGGGTTTGCCCATGGTCTGTTTTGCATTTGGCCTGTCTGCCCAGGTTCACCCACCGCAGAGCACAGCTAGAGGTGTGTCATGGCCCAGGTCTCTCTCTTAAAAAATCAGAAATAACTATAAATATTCACCAAAGCTGGGACTGGAAGTGGAATGGGGCAAAAATGCTGGGTTTTGGGCTGGCTGCTCCCAGTATATGTGGGTGCTCCCAAGCACAGGGGATGTGTGTGGCTGCTTGTGTGATGTTGAAGCCCTTGGGAGAGGGAGATGGAAAAGCAAACCTCCCCAAAACAAGCTTTTATATTTTTGCAGCCAGATTCTTCACTTGAGAAACAACTGAGGTAACTGCGTCTTTCTGCACTTCCTTCGAACTCTGATTTTACAAATTCAAACAAAGTCCAACTTTTGGACTTGACCAAATGTTCCAAAATTTTGGAGAAATCCAAACAATCAAAGTGGTTTAGAATTATAGAATGGTTAGAGTTGGAAGGGACCTTAAAGGCCATCGAGTTGGAAGGAACCTTAAAGGTCATGGGCAGGGACACCTCCCACCAGACCAGGTTTGAAGGGAAACGTTTTCTCTTTGTTCCAGACTGTTCTTTATCCTGCCTTAATTCAGAATTGCCAGTGAGCTAAGGGGTAAAAAAAAACCTGCTGCCCCTAAACTTTAGCTGGTGATGCCCAGTCCAGAGGATCTGCTCAGGCTCTTGCATGGGGGAAAGCATCAGAGATGGCTTTGAGCATAAGCCCTAGATCTGAGAAGCAGATGCAGAGGGTTTTGGGTTGACGTTCTCCTGATGCATCGCTGCTTCTCTCTCTGCCTTCTACCTTGTTTCTTGCTGTGCAGCCACTGGTTGTGACCCTCCCACAGTTTCTGTCCGAGACCCTGGGCAGATCCATGGACCCAACACGTGCAGCCCCTGGATGCATGAAGCTTCTCCCCCCACCAGCCGTCCCTACCTCCTTGCAAAGCACTTGGTGTTCCACAGGTGTTGCTGCAAAAACACAAAGCAGGCAGAGTTTGGTGTTTAACTTACTGGTTTCATAATGATGTGGATTTTTTAATTTTCCATGCTTGCCTTTTTTTTTAATCCCTAGGGTGAACCCGGGCTCCAGGGCCTGCCAGGACGTGTGGGTTACCCCGGCTCAGATGGATTCCCTGGCCTGGATGGCAAACCTGGCCCATGGGGACTGCCAGGAGAGCAGGTGAGCTGTGGGCAAGCAGGGGCCGTGGCGTGGCTAGCATTGGGTGGGCAAGCTGCAGCCCTGAGCCCCAGGCAGGAGACAAGGGGCTCCTAATGCTCCTGATCTTAACGTTCACTTGCCTTCTTCAACTAAAATACTCCTCTTAACCTGCAAACCCAGGCAGGGATAGGATCATAGAATGGTTCAGGTTGGAAGGGACCTTAAAGATCATGGACTCATGTAGGGTTGGGAGGGACCTCTGGAGATCATCAAGTCCAACTCCCCCACCGGAGTGGGTCTACCCAGAGCAGGTTGCACAGGATCTTGTCCAGGAAGTTTTGGAATGTTTCCAGAGAAGGAGACTCCACCACCTCTCTGGGCAGCCTGTTCCGGTGCCCCACCACTCTCACAGGAAAGAAGTTCCTCCTCATGTTTAGGTGGAACTTCTTATACTCAAGTTTGTGCCCGTTTCCTCTTGTCCTGTCCCTGGGCACCACTGAAAAAAGACTGGCCCCATCCTCCTGACTCCCTCCCTTTAAGTATTTATAAGCATTGATCAGATCATCCAGTTCCAAACCCCTGCCCCAGGCAGAGACACCTCCCACCAGACCAGGTTGCTCAAAGCTTTGTCCAGTCCTAAATTAGTGCCTTGAGGTTCATGTTTCCCCCTCCAAAAAGGGCTGTAAAACATCACACGTGTGTGTTAAAGTGCAGCTGGGACAACCCAAGCGCTGCAGATCCGGTGCTGGGCCTGAGCACGAGGGCTGGGCTGCTCTTCTGCATCTGGACCTCCCAGTTGCTTTCACAGGAGAAAATAACCGGGGGGACTAAGAAAGAAATGAGAAAGAGCATTTATGGGCTGCCTGGATCATGTTCAAGCTACGAAGCTGGTCACTTGGTGGTGTGACAGTCCCTGCCCCTTTCCAGACCCCTGGGAGCAATCCCTGGGGAATTTGAGCAACGCTTCTGAGCTGGGAGATTTCTCAGGGGCTTTTGGAAGATGGTGTTGGGGACTGAGAGGTCTGAGGCTCCTGAGAGTCCCCTGGGGGGGAGGCAGCAGCTGGTGGCAGGGTGGGGAGGTAGGAGTTGCAGCTGGGCATGGGTGGGAGGCACTGGGAAGCCCCTCAGCACCCACTCTGCTCCTTCCTCCTTCTCCCCAGGGACTGCAGGGCTTCCAGGGTGACCGGGGGCTGGCTGGCGAGAAGGGAGAAGAGGTAAGGAGCTGCCTGTGGGCACAATTCAGTGCCAGTCCCAGTATGTACACTGGTGTCCCAGTATGCCAGCCTGATGTTGTGTTAGTGTGGGATGCCCTGGTGTCACCCTCCTGCCACCCAGGGGGATCACCCTCGCTGCTGTGCCCACTCAGCCTCTGGCCATGTGAGTGCCCTGAGCTGGGGGAGTTGGGGCTGCTAGTGCACATCCTGCAGTTCCTCACCAGAGGAATATAAAGAACAAGATGTAAAATGTCCATAAAAAAAGTAAATATTAGTGGTTTCTCTCGCTTCCTTCCCACCCAGTCCCTTTTAAGCCGAAATGTTTAGAGCTACCCAAGAGATTTTGGCACTGAGTTCCTCTGAGGTCTGATGAGACTGGGGTGAAACCCAATTTCTTCTTTCTAAAACTGCTGCCCCCCATGGTTTATGATATTTCTTTTCTGGCCCGTACTTTGTACCCTCTTGCCTGTGAGCACCATCCCAGCATCAACCCAGATGGAGAATCTCTCCTCCTTGGGCTTGACCTCTCAGCAGCTGTGGACACGTGAAGCTTTACTCCACTTTCACAAGCCCATCGAGCTGTTCTGTTCCATCCCCACTGCCACCGTGTGCAGCTCAGGGCACCCTGGCATCTCCCAGGCACCAGCAATGGGCATGGCCCTGCCACCCACTGCAGGGAGCCCCATCCCAGCCCAGCAGGTGCTGGGACACCTCCATGTCACCGTTGTGCATGACGTGGTGTAACCCCAGCTTGGGACACACGAGCTGAGTAACCACAGCAGGGTGGGTGGCTGTCCCCTCTGCTGCAGGTTTTTTCTTCTGGGGGTGCCTCCTTTAGTACAAATTTGAGGGTTCCCACCCCCCTGCACAGCACTGACAGCCCTTTGGGGCCCAGCAGCCACCTTTTAGCTCCTGGTGGTCCAGCTGGGGCTCACACATCCTCATTGTTCCCATTTCAGGGTTTCTTGGGTGACCCTGGACCAGTTGGGGAGTGTTCTCATTTCAGGGTTTCTTGGGTGACCCTGGACCGGTTGGGGAGAAAGGAGAGAAGGGAGCGAAGGTGAGGGTGCCTGTCCTTGCTCTTCACAGCCCTGCCTGGGTCAGGCAGGAGGTTGGTCCACCCCTGCCATGCCCACCCCCTGTCCCCAGGTAACCCTGTTCTCCATCGCTCAGGCTGCTCTTGGCTTTTCCAGGGGGTGAAGGGAGAAAATGGCCTGCCAGGTCCTGCTGGGCTTCACGTGAGTCACTGTCTTGTGATGGCTCCTTCCCTCCATCCCCTTCCCTGGCCTGACCCCTTTGTTTGTCTGCGATGGTCCCAGCTCCATCCCTGGCTCCAGCCCACGTTCTCCTGGCTTTGGGCAAAGCTCTCAAGGTCTCTGACCCTCCTGGAAGGGATGGGCACCTTGCTGATGCCCTACTCCTGGCTTCTTCCCCAGGGGATGGCAGGTCTGAAGGGTGCGATGGGCTTCCAGGGCCCCATGGGGCCAGAGGTGAGTGGTTTTGCTTTCTCTGTGTCCCCAGCCCTCCCTGAGGAAGCTCCTTCCCTTTCCACTACCACTTCCAACTGGAAAGATGGGTCCAAGGAGGGAGGGCTCAGGCTTTGCAGGTCACCGCCACCACTTTGTGGTTTGCTCTTACAAAATCCTTATTTAATACTCTTTATTCCTGAAAGCTGCACCTAAACTACATCTTCATGATCTTTTTGCATCTCTATCTTTGTCCTGGAAGTGGCTTTTATTAATAGGGAAATTGCCCTGGAGCGACCAGGCTCGTTGTCCCTCTGCACATGGGGGGCAGGAGCCCCCCTTTGCCTCCAACATCTCCTGCATGGATGTTTGCATCCCAGCTCATTCTCCTGGCTGGTGAGGGGGAGAAATGAGCCTTTGCAGAGCACATTGCATTGCAGTTTATTTTAGGTGACCACCTTCAGCTGCGATGAATCCCAGGCTGACAGCACCTGGGCTTTTCCACGCTGCTCTCAGCATGCCAATAGCTTAACTGCTGCCACCTCATTAGGAGGCATCTCAGCCAGGGAAGGGGTTGCAGTAGATCTAAAAGGAAAATTCAAGCAGTTTGGTGGGTGAATGGAAGCACCTTCCAGTGTGAAGTGGGAGAGCTGGGGGCTGGGCAGGTCGCTGTTCAGAGGGACATCAAGTAGCTGATGTTTGGTGGGAAGAAAAGGAGGATGTGAAAACTAAAAGGAGAAAATCAAAGCAAAACAGGCCGGAAAAATGTCCTCCTTTCTCTCCTTCTTCAGGGAGAAGGTGGCTCAGTGGGTCCCCCAGGACCTGTCGGCCCCATGGTAAGTCACAGCTTTTTGATTCAAACCCCTGCTGGAATGCAGGCGGTGGCTGGGCTGGGGGAGCAGCGAGTCCCATGGTAAGTCACAGGTTTTTTGGTTCAAACCCCTGCTGGAATGCAGGCGGTGGCTGGGCTGGGGGAGCAGCGAGAGTGGGGCAGGACCACTGAGGGCAGACTGGGACAGAGAGTCATGGAATGGTTAAACTTGGAAGGGACCTTAAAGATCACCTAATGCCACCCCCTGCCCTGGGCATGGATACCTAACACCACACCAGGTTGCTCCAAGCCCCCTCCAACCTGCCCTTGAACCCCTCCAGAGATGGGGCAGCCACAGCTTCTCTGGGCAACCTGGGCCAGGCTCTCACCACCTGAAATGATGCCATCGTGTCCTTGCCCACCTTCATCCTTTGTGTTGAACTTACACCTGAAAAGGATGTGTCTCCTTCAAATACAGCCTCCTGGTAGTGGGGGGCAAATTGCAAAAAGATAAATGGTGTTAAGACTCATGCACACTATTAAAGCCCCCTCACCTCAGCATCCCCACTAGCCCCTTCTGCCATGGCAGATGCCTGGGGGGTCCCATCCTGTCTCCCCCTGCGTGGTGCACCTTGCTGTGGGGTTGAGCACCCTCTTGCACTGCAGGGAGAGCCAGGCCAGCCAGGATCCGTTGGATGCCAAGGTGTCAATGGCTCTCAGGTGGGTCTACCCCGGTTCCCCTCCTTGGCTATTTGAGTTTTTCTGGTCACTGCGCTCACTCCGTCCCTCCCCTGTTCTCTCCACAGGGAGAAATGGGTCCTCCTGGTTTGCCTGGTCCCCAGGGCCCCAAGGTATGTTGGTACAATCCTGCCCCGAGGGATGGGTGAAGTTCGTGGTGATGGGGTGTCTTGGGAAAGCTGGTGGGGGTGCCAGGATGGGAGGGTGTCCCGAGGGTCACCCAGCTCAGAGGGGGGGTCTCCTCCAGCTGGGCTGTCATCTCAACCCACCCCAAAATCTGCAGAGAGGCTGAGATGGGGGTGGGAATCCTTTCTGTACCCCTTCAATGATGGGGGGGGGTCCCGTTGCCCTGGAGCTCCTCAGCAGCGTGGTGGTTCCTGGGAGAGGTTTTGCACCCCAGGCTTTGCAGGGATGTGATTCTAACAGCAGCCCCTCGTCCCCCCCACCTTGCTTTGCAGGGACCACAGGGCTTGCAGGGGAGACGTGGCCCCCCCGGTCCCAGAGGCACACAGGTAAGCGGGTCCTGGCTTGGAGGCCACCATGTCTCCAAGGTGTGGGTGTCCCCCCAACCCATGTGCTGGATGAGCAAGTAAGGAGCTCCTTGGGACTTGCCCCCGGTGTCCCCTGGGCAAGCTGCAGGAAGGGGGGGAGAGAGGGGGCAAGGGAAGGGTGATCTGATGGGGACATGGTCCCTGGGGTGTGACAGGCAGCTCCTGGGGGGCCGGGCAGGGTTCCTGTGGGCTGGGGTCTCATCCTCAGAGCAGGACGGTGAGCAGCATCTTTCTTCTCCCAAACCTTCTCCTGCCTTTGCTTTTCCCCAGGGTCCAGCTGGGATGGAGGGATCTGCTGGTCCCAAAGGAGACACCGTAAGAGCTTCTCACTGGCTGGCTTTGACCTTGATCATAGAATAACAGAATGGGTTGGGTTGGAAGGGACCTTAAAGCCCATCCAGTGCCACCCCCTGCCCTGGGCAGGGACACCTCCCACCACACCAGGTTGCTCCAAGCCCCCTCCAACCTGCCCTTGAACCCCTCCAGGGATGGGGCAGCCACAGCTTCTCTGGGCAACCTGGGCCAGGCTCTCACCACCCTCACACCAAAGTTCTTCCCCAGATCTCATTTAAATTTCCCCTCTTTCAGTTTAAAACCATTACCCCTTGTCTTCACGCTTCACTCCCTGATGGAGATGGAGCCCAGGCTTGACATCTTCCCTTGGAGAGATGGGTAGAGTGAGGTGTCCCTGTCCCTGCTTTCGGTGGGGAGAGGGGGACAACACTTGGAGCTGACCTCGTGGAGAAAGCCTGGATGTCCCTGGGAGCCCCAGGGAGGGGACACGGTGGGACTGGGCACACTCTACTTGGTGTAGCACAGGCTCATCCTACGCTCCTCTTGCAGGGCACAGACGGTGTCCCCGGGCCGAGGGGACAGCTGGGCCAGGAGGGCCCTGGGGTAAGTCCATGGGAGCAGGTGGCTGGGTGAGAGATGTCCTTGTCCTTCCCCCTTGCAGCACCCAAAGCACCACGGAGGAATGTCCTGCTCCCCCCTGCTGCCCCCAGGCCCCCACAATGTTTGTGGCACAAGTGCTGGTTCAGATGATGGCCATGTCCCTCTGGCCACGCTCATCTCCAAACTTCAAAGCTCCTCTGACCCTGATGCTTGCGGGGACCCTAGATTTTTTTTATTTTTATTTTTTCCTATGGATTTTCCAGCAGAGACGCCCCAGCCCCGGCCCTGCCTATCCCTTCCCTGTTGCGCGATGAGGTGCACCCCTTTTTCCCAAGGGATTTAGAATCATAGAATCATAGAATGGTTTGGGTTGGAAGGGACCTCAAAGATCATCTAGTTCCAACCCCCCTGCCCTGGGCAGGGACACCTCCCACCACACCAGGTTGCTCAAGGCCCCATCCAGCCTGGCCTTGAACCCCTCCAGGGATGGGGCAGCCACAACCTCCCTGGGCAACCTGTTCCAGTGTCTCACCACCCTCATAGTAATAAATTTCTTTGTGATATCTAATCTGAATCTTTTTTCTTCCAATTTAAAACCGTTTCCCCTTGTCCTATCATTACCCTTCCTGGCAAAGAGTCCCTCCCCAGCTCTTCTATAGGCACCCTTCAGGTATTGAAAGGCCGCTATAAGGTCTCCCCGGAGCCTTCTCTTCTCCAGGCTGAAAGGTGCTGAGCATAAGGAGGCTGGGAAAGCCTGGTCTTTCTCCTGCCTGACCCACAGTGTCCCAGCTGAGCAGAGTCCATTTGCTTCTCACATGCTGAAACCCCATGGTGCTGAGCTGAAAGCTGGTGCTTGCAAGAGGGATGTGGGGTGGGACGTGGGTGGTGCATTTTGGAGGCTAACAAGGACCTCGTCCCTCGTGCTGGGGGGTGCTCTGCGGGTGGGGGTAACCTGGAGAGGGGTTCTACCTCCCCTGGTGCCTGTTGGGGAGCAAATCCCATCGTGGCATCAGCAGCAGCAACCCTGCAGAGCTGAACTGGCATCTCCCTTTTACCAGCATCTTCCCATCCCTGTGGCGTGGGAGTGTTGTCAGCCTCTGGGAGTGCATCAGATATTTTCCTTTATGGTTTATTTATTTTTTTTTTTTTAACTTGCACTTTCTGTCTCTCTCTGAAGGGGTTCATTGGCCTGCCAGGTTCAAAAGGCACCCAAGGAGAGCGGGTGAGTGACGGCACCCACGTCGTGCCAGGCTTGGGATGCAGGAGAGCCACATCAGGGGCACCAACTCTTTGTTCTTTGCCTGTGTTTTGGCCTTGATGCTTGAATAGATGGGAAATGGAGTCATTTGGGAAGGCAGAGCCAGGCTTGGACTTGCCTTGCTTTCAGAGGAGCTTTCAGACACAACAGTGTCCCCTAAGATATCGTGGGAGTGCTGTAGCCTGTGCTAAGAAACATAGTAATGAGGACAAGATGCTCATCATCATTGTGCTGGTACCAGGATGGTGCAGCTGGGATGCCACCACCGGCTGCAGGTGTCCTACCTGCTGGGAGAATTGGGATTGGCACGGGGTGCTGGGGGCACTAATGGTTTGGTGGTAAATGAACCCAGAAGCTCTGGAGCCCTCTAGCCACGAGGAGCAGATCCAGTATGTACCTGCTTCCAGCCTCCAAAAGCCCATCGGGAGTAAACCCCTGATCTAAATTGGGCTAAATTGATTTTCATTGATGCCAAAACCTGATCACACCATGCTTTGGTTGCAATGAGTGGCATAATGTGGGTTCCTGAGTGTGTCCTCCATGTCTGCTGTTCTTGCAGGGCTGTCGAGGTCCAACTGGAGCCAAGGGAGACCTGGGAGCCAAAGGAGACAAGGTACCACGTACCCAGGCTTGCAGGGGGGGATTCCTCAAGCTGCTTCCTCTTTTCTTCTTCAAACATGCTATTCTCCAGCCAGTGGATGTGGTGATGTGGATGTCCAGGGACCCAGGGGGCTGTGAGAGCCAGGCAGCTCAGGTTGGGCTTCATCCCACCACGCTGCCACCCCCGACCCAATCCTTCCCTGCTCCGTCTTGCTTTGGCTGTTTAAAAATGTTATATTGCCCTGTTGCTGGTACCCAGGGATGCTCTCGGAGGAGGGTCATGGGGTGTTCACCCAGAGCAGCCTCTGGCCAAAAAAGGTGCAGAGAACCAGGGAAGCAAGTGCTGGGATCTCAGTGTGGTTCCTGCCCGTGGGTGGGGGATCCCCAGACACCATCTGTCCCTCACCATCCTGCAGCTCATGCGAGATGGGGGTCTGCATGCTCCATCTTATTCCTCCCAGGGTCCATACGGAGCACAAGGAGCCAAAGGCCCCCCGGGGATTCGGGGACAGGTTGGTTTGCAGGGCTTTCCTGGCCCCCGAGGAGCAGCGGGACCCCAGGGACCAGAGGTAAGTGGTGTGGGGTGTTGCATGGTGGGACACGTGTGTGCCCAGTGTGATGCTGTGAGGTGGGTGACATGGGGAGGGGACAGCCCTGAGGGGGTGCAGGCAGTGTGGCCAGTGATGCTGTGCCCCATCCCTGCCCGGGGTGAGAGCTCCTGCCCGCTCCCAAGCCCAGGTGATGGGCAACCTGCCTCGGTGATTGCCCAAGAGCCAGACACTGTAGGTTTGCAGGACCCTCCCCCCACTCTTTCACCACCTAATCCCAGCTCCCTCCAGCATCCCAGGCATCTCCACCACCCTCTTCCTCCTCCCGTGGGCTGAAGGCACTGGGCTGTCCCCAGCTGAAAGCCCACCTGGCAGCAGTACTGGTATTTCCAGGCTCGTTGGGGTGGTGGGAGATGGTGTGGACTCAAGGAGACCTCTAAGGGCATCTCCCTCTGTGCTGCTCAACCAGGGGAGCTTTCCTCAAAGCCCCATCCTTGGGGTCACAGGTGTCCCCAGCACCAGCAGAGCTTTGACCCAGGTGCTCCAGACCCCTCCAGCTGTGTCCCCACCAAAGCTGGTGGGTCCAGCGATGAGAGGAAAGGGCAACTTCAGGCAGGTTTCCAGCAGGTTCAAGGTCAGCCCTTTCCAGTTCCTTCAGCCCGAGCATCTTTGCAGGGTTCCTGCTGAGTCCCTGCTCCAGGTCAGCCCCTTTCACAGGTATTTTGAGAGCAGATGGCTCTCATGAACTGCTGCTCATCTCTGACTCCTGCCAGGCTCTCTGCCTCCTGGAGCCTCTGCTGCCTGCTCCCATGGCTGACATTGCCCAGCTCTGCTTCTCACCAGCTCTACTGCCTGGTCCTGACCCTCTCCAGCTCCTGAGAGCTGAGCACAGCAGTGCTCAAGGAGCCCCAGAAACAAGGCACGATTTTTTAGAGTGCTTTTTCCTGCAGAGTGAGCTGTCGAGATGGAGGAACCCAGGCACAGATCAATATTTCTACCTGGGAACTGAAGCCAAGGCTGGCTGCTTATCTCGAGGGGTTTCTAGCTTGTCAGGAGAAGCTAGACACGTTTTCCCCACCCACCTTTCTGGTCTGCAGCATCCCCCTGACTGCGATGCCCTCCCCCTCAGAGGGTTTTCAGGATGCCTGCTTGGATCTGCTCTCACCGTGGCTCTTCAGGGTGAGAAACGAATCCTCCCACCTCTCCAAGAGATGGAGATGCAGCAGGACTCATCTCACTGCCAGGCAGTGCTTTTTCCACCCAGCCAAGCAGCACTGCTGACCCACGGCATCGGTCTGGAGCAGGGGTCTGGTCTGTGCCTCCCCCCACTGGGGATGTACCCGAGCCAGCAGGAGCATCAGCACATCCATCCTTTGAATTGCCTTTAATTGCACCACCAGGAAACAAAAATATTCCACTGTGCTGTTTGGGGCCAACACCGAACCCATTGATGTGTTTTTTTTCTGGCCAGTTTTATAATCCTGGGGGATGAGGGAAGTCCCCCACGACCTTGAAGCTCAGCTGGTGCCCCAGGTCACATTGTCAACTAATTAAAGTCACCTCCACCACGCTGCCTGTGTTTCTCCCCTACACAGAGCAGGGGGATGGTAGCTGGGGGGGCAGACAGAGGATCAGACGTCGCCTTTGCCACCTCCTCTCCTCTCTCCTGGCAGGGGGAAGAAGGCCAGATCGGTCCGGTGGGGCTGAACAGCAGCGAGGGACCCAAGGTCAGTGCCAACGATTGTCACTGTGTCCCCTGGTTCCCCATGGCCTGCCCTTGTCCTTGTGCAGAGGGGCAGGGATGTGACCACCCTGCCCATGACCTCCAGAGTGGGTCCCAGCACCCAGGGGACAGCATCGCGATGCCACCCCACCATGGTGGCAGCTGGATGAGTCCCCTTGGTGCCCACCAGGCTGAGGGGAGACCTCGAGCATTGCCTAAAATGACTGCATTTTCCTCCATATGAATTTTAGGGAGGCCGAGGACCTGATGGCCCGAAGGGAAGCCCAGGACCGCGGGGAGCCCGGGTAACTCATGGGGTGCTGCTACTTGTATGTGAATCTTGGAGCATCTTTGTCCATGGGGAGCTGAAACAACCCTGGAGACCTCCCGCTGGGTGGCTTGGGGTGTGCTGGGGCTGAGCATCTTCAAGCCCCAGCTTTGCCTCCAAATCTGGAACTTCACTGCTGGCAGAAGGATGCTTTTCTCAATGCTTGCTGTTTTCCAGGGCCGCGTGGGTCAGCGTGGGCTGGTCGGTGTCCCTGGGCTGCCTGTAAGTAGGAGATGACCCCGGAGATGACCCGGGATGCAGCTGGATTGTGGGGTTAGGCTCTGCTTGGGAATTTGCACAGGATAAGCCGGGAAGGAGCAGCCCAGGCTTTTGCCCGTTGCACGTAGCATTTTGACAAACCACCTGCCCAGCACCACAACTTCTCTCTTACCCTGAGCACGGAAAAATTCAGGCAATGACTTGTCAAGAAACTGCTGTTATTCGGAGACGTGTTGGGTGGAGAAGCCAAGAATAAATCGCTGGGGCAAGAGGGGAAAAAAAATCACAGTCGAGGTGTTTCGCGGTGGAAACGGGTTTCCTCCCACACTCATGTTATTTCCCAGCGACTGCATCCAAAGGTGGGATGGAGCAGGGAGGAGCTGCAGGAGCTGCACGGGGATGTGCCATGTGCTAACGAACCCAGGGCTTGAGACAGACCAGACAAGCAGCCTGGGGACCGTGCTGCTGCCAAATTGCCACCCTTTAATACTGTAGGGAGGCTCTGGGGCTGGATGAGCCCTTGGTGGGGACGCCCCGCCGTGGGGCTCTCCTTTCCTAAGACAAGACTCTCCTTCCAGGGCTTGCGGGGCGTCCTGGGAGTGGAAGGTGCAGAAGGAAAGCCTGGTACACAGGTTCCCATCCTACACTCTGTACTTGACTGTGGGCAAGGGCTGGGGTGGTGGGTTGTATCAAGAGGGGGAGCTGAGCCCAACTGGGAGGGTCTTCCTAACCCAACCCATGGCCAACCCAACCCATGGCCATGTGGGTCAAGACCTTGACGCCATGATGTTGGCCTCACTGTGAGGTGCAGAGCCAGGCTGTCCCCAGGGGTGTCCCCACATGGGGGAGTGATCCTGTGTGCATGAGCTGGCACAGTGGGACAGGGAGACCATCCTCTGCCTCCCCATCCTCATCATCACCTGCATTATCTTGCAGGGTTCTCCAGGGACCGTAGGCAGCCCAGGCAGGAGAGGACTACCGGTGAGTAGAGCTGCATGGCTGTCTGATCTCTGTCCTTCCTCCCCCCTGCTTGACTCTTCCCCATTTAAGGATGTGCCTCAAAGGCACGTCCATGGGATGGGACATGGGTGGTGGGTGGCCCCGATGGAGTGACAGCAGCTGGAAGGAGGGACCTTCTCAGCATCACGCTGAAGGGAATAAAGAAGAGGGAAAAGGGGCAGCGCATTTAAGAAATGGCCATTGCAAGATGATTTCTCATCCCTGGCACTGCTGTCCAAAACAGGCCCATCAGCAAGACCTGGGCTGGTGGCAAGTTTTCCTTTCTGCAGGATTTCTGGTATTTTTTTATCTTTGCTCTGAAATGCAAAGGGGAAAAAAAAAAAGAAAAAGAAAAAGCTGGCACTTTCATCTAAACAAAATATGAAAGATGTTCATCTCTGGGTCAAAGAGAAGCTCCTCTGAGATTGCTGTTACCTGCCTAGATGTGTGGGCGTTGGGTGCGTGTACACACACAGCTTCAGCAACGAGAACCAAAGAGCTGGTTTGAAGTGGGAAGCACCAGCACAGGCTGAGCCATTTGCTGGCGTCTCACCCCGGGCACTGGGCTCTGGTTTGGGTTGGTTTCAGACCACGTGCCACCAGGGAAGAGCCTCTCCATCCCTCCTACTTCTGCTTTCCCTCCATCGCTCATCTTCTGCCCTTTCCTCCAGGGTTTTGCTGGCTTGCAGGGGGGCCACGGGCACACAGGACCTCCAGGATCCATAGTAAGGAAAATAAATCTGTCTTCTGCATGAACTCTGCATTTTCTTAGTCAGCTGAGTAGTGTGGGTGGGAAGTCAGCAAGCTCACCAGCAAAGGCTGGTGCCCCTGGTGAGGGATCAGGGCATCTGTAGGACCTGAATCTTCGAGTAGCGTGGGTGGGAAGTCAGCGAGGTCACCAGCAAAGGCTGGTGCTGCTGGTGGGGGATCAGGGCATCTGTAGGACCTGAATCTTTTCTTGTTAAAGGGCAGAAAAAAGCCTGAGTGGCAGAAAGAGCTGGGGCTAGGGAAGAACAAAGTCATTTCCCCAGGGGATCAGCCTGCCCAAGGATTTTGCAGCTTCCCTGAGCCTTTTTCTTGTTAAAGGGCAGAAAAAAGCCTGAGTGGCAGAAAGATTGGGACTAGGGAAGAACAAAGTCATTTCCCCAGGGAATCAGCCTGCCCAAGGACTTTGCAGCTTCCCTGAGCCTGGTGGGGTCTCCATGGGGGACTGCAGCCCATGGAAATGCTTCCCACCTGGGTGGCTGAAGAGCAGGGTGGTCCTAGGAGGGGATCACAGCATTTGCTCCATCCCAAGTAGGAATGGGTTGGTAGAGGTTCAGGGAAGACAAGTCTTAGCCCACTGGGATGGAGATCCAGAGCCCCTTCCCACCTGGGTGGCTGAAGAACAGGGTGGTCCTGGGAGGGGATCACAGCATTTGCTCCATCCCAGGTAGGAATGGGTTGGTAGAGGTTCAGGGAAGACAAGTCCCATGTCTTAGCCCACTGGGATGGAGATCCAGAGCAGCTCCAGTAACTGGAACAGTGACTACCTCAGGAGTGAGTGCTGTCACCCTCCCTGGTGACAACCCTGCCAGACAGCCAGCCATGGGGCACTGGCGTGTGGGAGCCACCAGGATGGGCCACTGTGGCAGAGTTTGTCCCCAACAAACCCAGTCTGGACAGATGACACTTGTCCCTGAGCACAGAGGCAGCAGCGGTGGCTCGGTGGGGCTTGTCTCATCACAGCCTTTTGACTGTCACCACCTCCTTATTTCCAAAGGGTTCTCTGGGAAAACCTGGACCTGATGGAGACCCAGGTTCCCCAGGCCCAAAGGTGAGAGCTGGCGCTTGAGGGGGGCCATGAGTGGGCTGCGGGGAGGGCTGGTTGGAGCAGTGATGGTGGCAAACAGCCCTGAGAGGCTCTTGGGTGCCATGGGGAGACCTGGGAGGATCCCTTGGGTGCAGACATGGAGACCAAGGATGGGAAGATTCTGCTCGTATCCTGGGAGCGAAGGTTTGTTAATGCCCTTGTGTCGCCTGGCAGGGTCTACCTGGGAAGCCTGGCTCCGAGGGGCCACAAGGACCTGTTGGCACCTACGTAAGTGGCAGGTCCTGCCTGTGGGCAGTGGCCAGGCTGGGGGGAGACTGGCTGGAGCAGCCCTGCCTTCAGCCAGGGACTCGCCATCCTGCCAGGGCTCCTGTCTTTCCTAGAGCTGAGCCTCAGCACCCACCTTCTCCCAAATCCCTGGAGATGCCAAGTGGCCCTGGTTTGCTTCCTAATGCCATGCTCTCCTTAGGGCTACCCGGGACCTGCCGGTGACCGCGGGAGGCCGGGACGCAGGGGAGACAAGGTAAGGCTGGGAAATGCAGCACTGGGGTGGGAGGCCAGGCTTTGGAAATATTTTTTGGGTTGGGCTGTTGATCCCAATGGATGGTTTTTGGATGGTGATGGTCATCAGCCATGCCAAGGAGGTTGCAGGAGCAGCGGGAGGAGGACAGCTGGAGCAGGGTCCCATGCTGGGTGAACCAGCATCATAAGATGCCAGGCTCCTGAGTTGTTTTTTTTTTTCTTAGGAGGCTACTGCATTAAAACATATGGCAGAAAGGAATTTTTGTTTTCTTGCTTCTCAACAGGGAGAAATGGGAGCCCAAGGCCCACCGGGGTTTCCAGGAAAAGCTGGTCCCAAGGTGAGTGCTGTTTGCTGCCACCCTGGACCCCCTGGAGAAGCACCCCCAGACGTTTGCTGGGCTGGACAAGGGAAAATGTCAAATGTTTGCTACTGGCATCAGGGATGTAAACTGGGGAGAAGGGAGCAGTGGGGCTGCTGCGTCGGGCTGTGATAGTTCTCTCCTTCCCCAGGCCCTGCCAGGTCCCCCTGGTCCACGTGGAGCTCCCGGCTCCCAGGTAGGGCTCTCCGTGCTCCCCACAAGCCTGGTTTTTTCCTCTCCCTCTGCCTCCATCCCCTGTGGATGTACACCACACTGCAACATGGACCCTGTGCTACCTATAGCATCAGCAGGGTGATCCCAGCCCCCTGGTCCCGTGTGGTTGGGCTTTGTCCTGATGCTTCATGGACACCGTTGAGGTTGCCCAGGCACACAGGGGTTGTCCAAGTGAAGTGTCACCCTCTCGGGACCCCATGTCCCTCCTGACCTTGACCACACTGCTGAGCATCCTTCTTGTTTCAGGGCAGAGCAGGAGACCCGGGTCCTCGAGGGCTTCCAGGGCTGCCTGTAAGTGGGAGATCTGTAGCTGACAGATCCCCTGTGGGTTCTGGTTGGATGATGTCCCATGGGATGACATACAGGTGTCCACATTGGAGGCAAAAAGCTTCATTCCTGGGCTGGTTGTGGGGCAGAGAATGACCCAAACCCTGCATGGGTGGCTGGGTGGTGACAAGTCGGGTATGGGGACAGCAGTGGCCTCCTGCACCAGCAGTGATGAGACATTGGTGCCCACCAGGTGCAAGTGGCACCTTGCAGACCCCGTGGTGGCCCAACTGCTTCAGGCATGAGGGTCCCACTGGAGTTGTCGTCCCTGGAGCTGCACCTCACGCTATGTTTTGAGGTGCCTAAGGGCTCCTTTGGTCTTGCAGGGTGTTCCTGGCCCACGGGGGCTGGATGGCATCCCCGGAAAGCCTGGCTCAGCAGGAGAAGTGGGGGCTCCCGGAGAAGCTGGTGCTGCTGGCCCACCTGGGTACCCGGTGAGTGCAGATACGTGGTTCCTTCAATCAATGCCCAACACAACCTCCTGCCTCAGCTGGTAGGACAAGGAGCAAGGTTTTGCTGGTGCAATCGCTTTTAGGGAGCTCCCAAAAGCACCTGCAGGAAGGGAAGGAAAAGGGAAGGTGGTGCAAGGGTCTTGGGAAGCTGTGAGTGGTTTCTCTGCCCATGGGGATGTGGTGTGCTGGGACATCCCAGACCCAGCTCCTGAGCTTGCAAAGCCCTCCTGAGTTAGTGCAATGTCGTGCTGCTGACATGGACTGTTTGTTTTCAGGGCCGAGAAGGTCCAAATGGACCTGAAGGGCCTTCGGGGATGAGAGGAGAGAAGGTAAGGACAGAGAAGGTGAGTCTTGAGCTCCCCAGGCAGGCAGAGCCTTGGGCTCGCTCTGCTTGTCCAAAGGGGTGGTTTTCCTCCCCTGGGCTGTAAGTGCAAGCACTCCTCCCAGTCTGACCACTGGTTTCGCCCCGTGGGATGGGGATTTACATATCTGGTGCGAGGTGGGAGCAGAGCATTGCAAGCCCGGCAGCGGGGTGTGCAGAGGACCTGTGTGGAGGACCACCATGGCCATCTGTCCTAATGTCCAGGTGTCCTCTGGCAGGGTGATGTGGGAGACCCTGGGGAAGCCGGCGTGAGCGGGCTGGATGGCCAGCAGGTAAGTCACCTGGGGCACCCTCTTCTTCCCTCTGTGGGGGCTGTGTCTCTTCTCCAGGGATGGGAGAGGAAGGGAGAAGGTTGCTGGTCCTCACCTAAACCAGAAATTAAAGCTCTGTGTGTGTTGGCCAAGCGACACAGGGGTGAACGAGCCGTGCTAGGGCTGGGCTGTGTGTCTTCTCCCCAGGGACCACCAGGACCACCAGGAGCAGAGGGTCAGCTGGGGCCCAAAGGAGAGCAGGTCGGTTCCCGCTGGGTGCTGGGGGTGATATTGCTGGTGGAACTGGTTTTACCCAGTTTTGCGCCTAAATCCATGCAGGGCTGTTTGAAATCCACGCCCAGCGTGGTCATGTCTGGGGATTCATGTTGCTGGGCATGGTAGGGGGGGTCCAGGTCCCCTCAAAGCTTGGGTACTTGGTACAAGGAGAACTGGGGCTGCTGTATGGTGAGAGATGATGGAGGGTAGACCCAGGGTCAGCTGGAAAACTCAGCCAAGAATAATCCTGGTCATCTTTATCCTGTCCAGGGAGAGGCAGGAACCTGTGGAGCTCCAGGCACCAGAGGGGACCCCGGGGAGCCAGGGGACAATGGGCCAGTGGGGCCACCAGGGAGGCCCGGGGAGCAAGGAAAGGAGGTAGGTGGGATGGCTGACACCTCAGTGGTCACTGCTGGCTACCGGTGTCCTCTGCCAAGGGATGGGGAGGGGAAAGGTCTGCCACCCGGTGCACGGGCTCTGGACAACTGCCCGTGCTATGGCTTTGCCACAGGCAGGCTGAGGTGCCCCTGTGGAAGGAGAGGGGGGATGTTCTGGGGGGTCTTCCCTTGCTTGGGTGAGGTGCTGCTCGGCTGTGCTCAGCATTTTGTCCTCCCTGGCTTTGGGTGACAGCTGGGGGTGACCTCCTGGTGCAGGCGAAGCTGTGGGGACATCTTTTGCCCCAAAATGCCAGCCAGAGGAGGGTGGAGAAGCCCATGGAAGTCAGAGCGTGGGTTTTAACCCACCCTGGGATGGGGCTGGGGTGCAGCTGCTGCATCTGATGCCCATGTTTCCCCTCCGGGCAGGGTGACGCTGGTGACGCTGGAGACCCGGGTGAGCCAGGACCCCAGGGACAGAAGGTGAGGAGTGTCTCTAACTCTGTCCCTTCTTGCAGCACCCCAGGGACACCTGTAGTCTGCTCAGCCTCTTCTACTTTGTTTGCCATGGTGGGGGAAGAAGCAGGACAGGGATGTCCCCCATGGCTGAGGACCACTGGAGATGTAGGGCTCAGACCTGCAGGGCATCAGCACCTCTCCTGAGCACCCTAGGGTGAAGCTCTATCAGTGGCACCCAGCAAGAGGGTGAAACACGTCGTCTCCATGCAGAAGCTCATTTAATTGCTATTCCTTTTTTTTTCTTTGTGGTGACAACTCTGTCTCCATCCCTGAGCAGGGCGACGCTGGTCCCAGGGGCCTTCCTGGAACACCTGGCCCAGGAGCTGCTACGGGGGAAATTGGAGAAAAAGGCCACAAAGGAGAGAAGGGGCAAGAAGGTTTGCTGGCAAGTACAGAGAGGGGCTGCCTCAGCCCACTGGGCAACCAAGATTGGGTGCTGGGAGCTGAGAAGGGGGGCTCAACCTGGTGGGAAACCTTGGACTCCATGAGCCCAGGTGTGAGAAGACACAAGGAATTGGCAAATCAGAATTAGGGAGTTTTATGATTCCTGGGCATGACTCCAAAATTGGGTCTTGTTGGCACAAAAGGGCAGTTTGGACTTGCTGGGTTCATGCTGCCTCCTGTCCCCCCGGGCCGGGCTGGGACCCTGCTGAGCACCTCTCCTTCTGTGTCCCAGGGCCAGGTTGGTGTCACTGGAGCTGCGGGACCTGCTGGAGCCAGAGGATGGTTTGTAAGTCAGCTCGTGTCCCTCCTCCCTTTTTGGCTGATGAAGGACCTGGTGGGGAGGATGTGGCTGTGACTGGGAGCACTGGGCAGGTTTGAATCAATGGGGTTCCTTTGCTTGTGCCCCAAACAGGGTGGGACGGGTCTCCGAGGTCCTCCTGGGCTTGACGGTCCCGAGGGAGCAAAGGTATGGAGAGGTGATGGCTCCAACCCTTCATCTCTGGGTGAAATGCCCCTTTCTGGTCTTTTCCCAAGCTCTGCTTTCTCTCTCTGGAAAATGGGGGACGTGGTGGGGCTGGCTGTGGTGGAGGTGCTGGGTCAGACCTGGGCAGGCTGGTGACCTGGGAGACCTGCCATGGGACAATCCCTGCCTTGTTGCCTGGGGACAGAACTTTTTTCCCTTCTTCCCCAGGGAGATCCAGGACCACGAGGCATGGATGGACCTACAGGTGCTGCAGGATTAGAGGTAAGGACATCGGAGAGCCGGGAGCTCTCAAAGGCTTCCCCAGTGCTTCACTGTTCCCAAAAAAAACCAAAGCCCAAAGGATTCCTTGTCCCTTAACTGCCCAGGTCAGGAGGAAGGAGGGGCTTTTAACACCTCACATCTTGGTACTGAGTCCCAAGAGGTAATTACATGCTCCCACCCCAAAAATCAGACCATTTCAGCCTGGTACCCAGGGATGCTTTGAGGAAGACCCTTTCCTGTTATCTCATCGTGTTCACTCCCACCCAGTGCCTGGGTGCTGCCTGGGCATGTGCCTTGGTCAGCTGAACCTGGTATGAGGGAGAGGATGCTTAAAATATGTCTGAGGACGAAACATGTGGTGGTGATGGGCTTATTCTAAATCCCCACCATCACCACAGGGACTCGCTGGAGAGGACGGCCTCAAGGGAGATGCTGGCAAGCCTGGTCCAGTGGTGAGTACCAACCCTGCCCCTGCAAAAATTGCCTGGGAAAGAGATTTGGTGGCATCTTGTGATGGAGCAGCAGAGCTTGGGACTGTGTGTCACACAGGGGGTGGCCACAAAGCGAGCTCTGCCAGCCCGAGTGCCGGGTCATGTCTCACGGGTCCTGCCCCGTAGTGGCTTTGGAACTGAGTCATCCTTTCCCTGCTTTCCCTAGAGCCAAAGCTCCGTGAAGGCACTTTATTAAAGCTATTGAAAACAATGTAAAAGTGCCACGGCTGTTGTGCAATTAATACTCAGCTGCCAGAGTCTGCCTGAGGCAGGTCCAGGGCATTTGGCTTCCCCTCTTGTGCTTCCACAGATCAAACCCGTGGGGTGTCCCTAAGGTCAGGAGGGCTCAGGAAGCCACCCTGTGCTCAGGGTGATGCATTTGCTGGTCGTGGCCCTGACGTGCCCAAAGCCAGAGATGTGTAATTGATGCCCTGCACTCGCCTGCAGGAGGAATCCCATTTGCATCCCGGTTTTCCCACATTGCAGAGCCGCTCTGTCCCAGGCAGGACACGTCCAAACTGGGGCCACTGTGGAATAAATATTGCCGAATCAACTGGGTGTAGTCAAAGCACCTGGAGCTGCTCAGCCCCTGCTCCAGATGGGGTTGGGCTGGGATGTAACCGGTGTCCCCATCCGTGTCCATCGCAGGGCGCAGTGGGTGCCCGGGGACCGGCGGGCAGCCCCGGGCTCCGGGGTTTCACCGGGCACGAAGGAGCCAGAGGAGCCGTGGGCACCAAGGGAGAGCTGGGCCGGCAGGTAACTCCTCTCTGTGCCACAGGGACAGGCAGGGGACATCCCCACAGGGTGGCCCTCCCCAGGACAGCTCTGGCACCATGGAGGGCAACCACCCCAGTCCAGATACTGGGGCCAAGGCAGCTGGTTTTGGACTCGCCCTCCTGCCTTCCCCCAGTTAACCCAGAGATGATGCTCTGGTCTCGTGTTTTGTCTTCTTAGGGTCTTCTGGGGCCACCAGGTGAAGCTGGACCCACAGGACCGAGTGGCACTGAGGTGAGTGACCTCCTCTGCTGCCCCACTTCCCCACCTCCAGCTTTTCTCGCATCCCAGGTCTGTGCCACTCCGACAGCCTGCCCGGGATTTGGGTGAATAACCCCAGAACTTATTTTTTTTGGAGTTGGGTTGATTTTTCTTTTCCTTCCTAGGGCCTGACGGGTGCAAAAGGGGAGGCGGGCAAGCCAGGACAACTGGGGCAAATGGTGAGGAGAGGGATGGAGCCATACTGGTTCCTCCTGGCACAGGCAGTGGGATGCTGGGATCTCCCAGCTGCAGCACCTCCTGCTCCCACTGGAACACCCAAACCTGCTCCAGAGAGAGGCAAAAATCTAAACTGGGGATGTCAGCTTAGAGCATCCTCCTGTGCACGCCGTGGGGAGGGAGGCTGGGGGGGAACATCCCTGGCACAGCATCCTCACGGAGGGACTTTCCTTCTCCTTTGGGATTTTAGGGGTCTCCAGGACAAGCTGGTCCTAGAGGGCGGAAAGGTCGCAAAGGAGAAAAGGTACCTCCAAAAATCCTCTTCTGCAGATGGCACCCAAGGGGGACCAGCCACCAGGAACGGGGTGGCCAAGCCTGAGCTGGTCAACCCCACTGTGGTCCATGGAGACAAATAAGGGGAATGGCTTTGGGGGGACCCATTTGTCCCCACTGTAAAGGCAACTGTGGACCAGTGCCTGCCCTTGGGCTGCCTTGGCTGGATTTTGGGTGAGGGACTGGCAGGTCTCACCAGCTCAGCCCTGCCCAGCCCCACCGGGCTGCCTCCATCCTGGCTTGGGTGCCCTTGTTGGGTGGACAAGGGACATCCCCTTCACTGTCTGGTTCTTCACCATGACCTTGGTGTCCATCTCCAGGGTCCCACAGCACCCGGTGTGAGCTCTGGCCCCATCTCCACGCAGGCAACATCCCTTTTTCCCCAATCCTGGGGATGTGGCCAGGCTGCTGGTGACCCATATCTCCCATCTCTTCTTCCCCCAGGGCAATGTGGGGCACAAAGGGGAAGAAGGGGTCCCCGGAGAAGCTGGCAGACGGGTAAATGGTACCGTTGTCCCCATGGAGGGTGGCAGGAGGCACGGGGCTTACTCTTGGAGACGGGACTAATTTCTCTTCTCATTCTGGGGAAAACTGCACTTTTAGAAGACTCCAGTGTCCAAATTCATGAAAATACTTATTTATAGCCAGCTATGGAATGTGGGATTCAAGGTCTCCGTGTTTTCGGGTGTGGGGATGAGGAGGAGTGAAACCCGGGCACTTGACCCAAGCTGCCAGCAGGATGATTTCGTATCATGAATGTCACATTCAATATAAATTTAGACATTTTGCTGCATAAGAACATAATTGCTCTCTCCCTTGACGGTGGTGGGTCCAGAGAACTCCTTGCCCTGATGCTGGAGCCCTGAGCCCTTTCCTTCCTCCTGAAGCTCACAGGGTCCCACACTGGGTGTCCCTGCTGTGATGGAACGGGCTGGATATAATTCCTGTATATCTTATATTAGTATCAGGACTACTGGTTCTTCGGTATTATTGTTAATTATGTAGACTTATTGTGTTTCCTTGCTTTCCCTGATTCCCCTTTCCGGGTGGGGAGGTGCCATGGGGTGAGAGAATAATCATCTAAGCAATAATTTGGTTTTCTCAAACCATAACACCCACAGAGGTCTTGCAGAGGGGGCCCTGGTTTTCTGGGGGCTCAGCATCCCTGGGGGGGCAGCGAGGGGGACGTGGGGTGTCCGGCTCAGTGCCTTTAACAGGCTGGAATTGCTCACCAGTCTTTAATCTGTTGTTCCCAGGGCAAGCGAGGGAAGGCCGGCCACCGGCCCCCGAGAGGTCCCCGGGGACCCAAGGTAGGTTGGCTTTGTCCCACCAGGGTGAGGGTTGGTTTTGGCACCCTCTGGAGTGCTCCCCACCCAGGGGGCTGCTCCCACCTGCCCTGGCTTAGAAAAGGATGGGTCAATATAGGGATGTCACATAGCTGGAAAGCTCTGTGTCCCAGTCCCTTCCAGTCCAAGGAGGGCATCTCCCACACCCCCAGCCCCCGGGGGCTTCCCTCCCTGCAGGAGGCACCCGGGCATCCCTCTTGGGCCCATCAGCCAGGGGGTCTCACTTTTGCATTTCCAGGGCTACCCAGGTGATGATGGGCTGGAAGGACCCCAGGGGCCCCAGGGACCCTACGTGAGTATTAGCTTGGAGGTTTTGGGGTGGCAGCTGCTCCCTGTTTGGCCCTGTGGGTACCACGGTGCAACCCAGCTCTGTGGGCAACGGGAGCAGAGAAAAATTAAAATGAAAGTCCCATTTTTAATGAGTGAAATTTCTAGGTGTTTCATCCATCCCTCGTTTATCCATCTCATCTTGCTTTCTCCTCCCAAATTCCCATCCAGCAGTGTGTGTGCAGTCGGGCAAATCACATAATCATGGTAAGGTTAGAGTTGGAAGGGACCTTAAAGATCATCCAGTGCCCCCCCCTGCCCTGGGCAGGGACACCTCCCACCACACCAGGTTGCTCCAAGCCCCCTCCAACCTGCCCTTGAACCCCTCCAGGGATGGGGCAGCCACAGCTTCTCTGGACAACCTGGGCCAGGCTCTCACCACCCTCACAGCAAAGAAGTTCTTCCCCACATCTCATCTCAATCTCCCCTAATCTCCAACATGTTGTTCTAGAGGCCAAATACTTCCCTTCAATCTCCAATATGTTGTTCTAGAGGCCAAATACTTCCCTTCCAGTTCAGCATCTGATGCCTGCTGGTGCCTGGAGCACTCATAGAGGACTGTGCCCACGTCCCATTGAGCTGCCATGGCACAAGGGACTGGCTGCATTGAAGCGGCCAGCATTGGGCAAAAAAACTAATCAAATATATATTTTTAACAACTGGAAATGTTTTTTTCACTATTGAAAATAAAAATCCCAGCTTTGGAAACATCACAAGAGCGAGCCACGATGTTCCGCAACCAGCCAAGGGACCTGAACTGCATTTTGAATGGGTTTTGCTGAGGGATCCTCCTGAAAGCAAAAAAAAATAAAATCAAAGATTTGACGAGAAATAACTCAAAGTTTCTAGAACTGCCTGAAATTCTCAGAATCCTGGTGGCAGCCTTGATTTTAGTGAGGTCCCTCTGTGCCAGGGAGCTGCCGGGAGTGGCTCAGCCACAGGGTGATGTGGTGCCACGTCGTTTCTCTCTTAGGGCATCCCAGGGCTGAAGGGCATGAAAGGAGACCCCGGACCCAAAGGACACAAGGTAGGTGACATCTACCAGGCACTTGAGCCCCAGGCACAGGCTAGCATTTAATTTGCTGGCTGCCATCACTCATTCCCCTCTTCTCGAACCCTGATGGCTTCAGCGTCCTTCTTTGGGGGTTGACCACCATGTGCCCAGGTGGTGGGAGATGGGACCTTTAGCTTTCCTCCAAAATCAAGCCCTTTTCCAGCCTCTCCTGGAATTGTGAGCAGCAGCGTGCACGTTCTTTTAATCCCCTGTTCTGGGCGTCGATGCCGACGCAGCACGAGCACGGACCCCCTCCCACGTGCTGATGGATCCAACCTTGGCCCGAGAAGCCAAGCACATCCTGGCGGTCCCATCTCTCAGCCACAAGGCTGTAAATAAGAGGGACAAGCAGTCCCTGGTGGCGGGTGGTTGCTCACAGCCTTCAGGAAAACGAAACCCTGGCAGTAAATAAAGCTTTTAAATTTATGGTGAGCTAAATGAGCAATGGCAGAAGTTAAAGTCCAGGACGTTCTGCAAGGGCAGAGCCTGGGAGGGGAGATGGAGGTAGGGAGGGCTGCGGGACGTGGCTGGGCTGGATTTTCTCCCCCTGCCCCACCAGATTTCAGCACACAAAGCATTGTCTTTTATTTTCTCAAAGCATGTCCTGGGAACTTCTGAGGTTTTCTTCAACGTTATTTTAGTCTGGGATAAAACACTCTCAGTTCAGAGGAGGCAGACGCTCCATCACGCCTCCTCCTTCCCCAGCAACGCGGGTTCAGTTAATTCTACCAAAGCAAAAGGATGGGTTGGTTTGGGTTGACGTTGTATTTTTTCTTTCTCAGAAATTTTACAGCCAGCCGTAACTGGGAATTTCCCTTTTCCAACTGGAAAAGTCCCTCTTCCTCCTGCTGGAGGCCAGGAGATCTTTGGCCTGGAGAAATGTCCCCAGGCAGGCATCTCCTGCCAGGGTCAGGCAGCAAGGAAAACCTCTGTTGCCTACCTGCTGAAGTACCACTCATGGAGTAACTAGAGCAGGGTTCCCAATGCCCACCATCAGGGACAGAGCAGGGTTCCTGATGCCCACCCTGCCCAGTTGGGTGTCCCCAGGGTGGGGTTCTACCCTCCTCTTGGCCACCAAAGCTCTCCCTGACTCTTTCCTAGGGCGACAAGGGCAGCATGGGCGACCTGGGCCAGCAAGGGGATGATGGCTTCAAGGTGCGTGAAGGGTTTTGCTCTCTTCCTCCTTCCTCTTGGTCCCTCGTCACTCTGTGTGACACCCTGACCCATCTTCTAGGGCAAGCCAGGACCGCACGGCATCCCCGGGAGGCCAGGACCCAAGGGACAGCAGGTAAGGGCAGGGTGGAAGGAGGAACTGAGATGAGTATTTGGGGTGAATTCCTCATTTTTTCCGTGCTAAAACTCACCTGGGGAAGGGGCTTGGTTATAGAAGAACATATGGCTGGGGGATGCCCCCTGTAGTGCCCTGACCTCCTCCCGTGTCTTTGCAGGGTGATGCTGGCCCCCCCGGCCCACGGGGACACCCTGGCATCCCTGGGGCACCGGTGAGTCCTTTGCCTCCCCGGCAGGTTTGGGGTTCACCCTTGGTCCTGCAGGAGTTATCCTGCTGGGATGGGGCTTTGATCCTGCCTTCCTCCCTCCCTCTGAGCTGCACCTTGTCCTTCTCTTCCAGGGCTTGTCTGGACCCAAAGTAAGTCATGGGGAGCACTGGGAGCCCAGCTCAGCCCCACCATGGGGCACATCCCCTCCTTCTCCTTCCCAGGGTGCAGGGTGGCCCCATGGGCCCCGCTCGGCACGGCAGCATCTCACCACCTTGATTTTCTTCCCTCCTTCTCCTCCTCCTCATCCTCATCCTTTGGCAGGGGTTGAAAGGCTTCCCAGGGCTGCCAGGACCCAGGGGCACACCAGGACCACCGGTAAGCAGGGCCACTAATGTCCCTCACGCCAAAATTTGGGTCCATGGCTCCCTCAAATTTGGCAGTGAGGTCCCACCATGCCACGCCATGGGGCTAGCCGGCTGCTGGCACCCTTGGAGGGGCTGCAAGCATGTCAGGGGGCTTGTGGGCAGCAGCCAGCATCACTGGCATTGTCATTGTCACCCAGGGTCTCGCTGGCCCCCCTGGTCCCCGTGGACCCACGCTGATGCTGTCCCGGGAGGAGCTGCGGGTGAGTGCATTGGAAAGGGGATGCTGTGAGGGGTTTCCATCCCCCTTTTAGTGGGTGCCACCTTGGAGGGAAGGGCTGACAGCGATGCTGTCCCATGTCCTGTTGCTCCTGAGGGTCCTTTGTGCACGAGGTCCTTGCACAAAGAGCCAGAAGATATGGCTAATCCATCTCCCACCACGCTTGTCCTTGTCCCCTGCCTGTCCCATCCCCTTCCTGAGCACCCTGGCCAAAATAAGAGGTGGCAGGGGGGGCTTAATATCAGCTTGGTCACACACCCCCCTTATTTTTATTTTTCTTTGTCTTTAAGCACCTAATTTATCCCTCCAACCACCTGAATTACACGGCGGTCTGGGCTCTGCTGGACACCCTGAGCCAGGAACTGCAAGCCCTCATCCAGCATCCAAATGGCACCAAAACCAACCCGGCGACCACCTGCAAGGAGCTGCTGTTGGCTCATCCCAGCCTCCCTGATGGTACTGGGGTGCTCTTGGGGTCCCCCCGTGTTGGACCCGTAGCCGGACAGCCCTCCCAGCGCCGGGACGGCGCTGGGAGGGCTGTCCGGCTACGGGTCCAACACGGGGGGACGGGCAGCTCTTTGTAATTAAGAAGGGATGAGGATTTGGGGGGATGAGCTCAGCTGGGTAGCCCTGGAGGATGGAGATGGCAGGCTGGGATGTGCCACCATCCTCTTCCCTCTCCTGCCCCAACCCAAAAAAAAAAGCTCTGCCCTCTGCCTCCCTCCCTCCAGGGCAATACTACATTGACCCCAACCAGGGCAGCCCCCAAGACGCACTGGTGGCCTTCTGCAACTTCACAGCTGGGGGGGAGACTTGCATAGCCCCTGTCCACAACCAGGTAGGCTTTGGTGGGGTGGCTTCAACCCCACGTTCCCCCTTGGGGTGGGTGGGGATGGGGTTGGTGTGGTTGGAGAAGGGAGAGTGTGGCTGGTCCCTTGCCGTAGGTGACCTTGGCCATCGCTGTTGGAGCAGTTTGGGGGGGAGGATTAGGGGTTCACAGGAGCCCCGTTCCTTCCCCAAGCCCAACATCATCCCTCATTCCCAGACTCCAGGTTGTCCAGCCTGGAGAAGAGAACGCTCCAGGGAGACCTTAGAGCCCCTTCCAGTCTGTCATTGTCACCCAGGGTGTTGCTGGTCCCCCTGGTCCCCGTGGACCCACGCTGATGCTGTCCCAGGAGGAGCTGCGGGTGAGTGCATTGGAGAGGGGATGCTCTGAGGGGTTTCCATCCCCCTTTTGGTGGGTGACACCCTGGAGGGAAGGGCTGACAGTGATGCTGTCCCATGTCCCATTGCTCCTGAGGGTCCTCCGTGCACGAGGTCCTTGCACAAAGAGCCAGAAGATATGGCTAATCCATCTCCCACCACGCTTGTCCTTGTCCCCTGCCTGTCCCATCCCCTTCCTGAGCACCCTGGCCAAAATAAGAGGTGGCAGGGGGGGCTTAATATCAGCTTGGTCATACCTCACCCTTATTTTTTTATTTTTTTTTGTCTTTAAGCACCTAATTTATCCCTCCAACCACCTGAATTACACGGCGGTCTGGGCTCTGCTGGACACCCTGAGCCAGGAACTGCAAGCCCTCATCCAGCATCCAAATGGCACCAAAACCAACCCGGCGACCACCTGCAAGGAGCTGCTGTTGGCTCATCCCAGCCTCCCTGATGGTACTGGGGTGCTCTTGAGGTCCCCCCGTGTTGGACCCGTAGCCGGACAGCCCTCCCAGCGCCGGGACGGCGCTGGGAGGGCTGTCCGGCTACGGGTCCAACATGGGGGGACGGGGAGCTCTTTGTAATTAAGAAGGGATGAGGATTTGGGGGATGAGCTCAGCTGGGTAGCCCTGGAGGATGGAGGTGGCAGGCTGGGATGTGCCACCATCCTCTTTTTCCCCCACCCCATGCCAAAAAAAAAAGCTCTGCCCTCTGCCTCCCTCCCTCCAGGGCAATACTACATCGACCCCAACCAGGGCAGCCCCCAAGATGCACTGGTGGCCTTCTGCAACTTCACGGCAGGGGGGGGGACCTGCATAGCCCCCGTCCACAACCAGGTAGGCTTTGGTGGGGTGGCTTCAACCCCACGTTCCCCCTTGGGGTGGTGGGGATGGGGTTGGTGTGGTTGGAGAAGGGACAGCGTGGCCGGTCCCTTGCTGTGGGTGATCTTGGCCATCACTGTTGGAGCATGGACCTGCCAGACCACTGGATGGTCTTAAAGGTCCCTTCCCACCCAAACCATTCTATGATCCTACCATCCTGGTCAAGGTGTGTGACCAGGCTGCAGCCCGTCCACAACCAGGTAGGCTTTGGTGGGGTGGCTTCAACCCCACGTTCCCCCTTGGGGTGGTGGGGATGGGGTTGGTGTGGTTGGAGAAGGGACAGCGTGGCCGGTCCCTTGCTGTGGGTGATCTTGGCCATCACTGTTGGAGCAGTTTGGGGGGAAGACAAGGGGTTCACAGGAGCCCTGTTGCCTTCCCCAAGCCCAACATCATCCCTCAATCCCAGACTCCAGGTTGTCCAGCCTGGAGAAGAGAAGGCTCCAGGGAGACCTTAGAGCCCTTTCCACTCCCTCAAGAGGCTCCAAGAAAGCTGGGGAGGGACTCTTGGTAAGGGAGTGGAGTCACAGGATGAGGAGGAAGGGTTTGACACTGAAAGAGGGGAGATGGAGCTGAGATGTGGGGAAGAACTTGTTTGGGGTGAGGGTGGTGAGAGCCTGGCCCAGGTTGCCCCGAGAAGCTGTGGCTGCCCCATCCCTGGAGGGGTTCAAGGCCAGGTTGGAGGGGGCTTGGAGCAACCTGGTCTGGTGGGAGGTGTCCCTGCCCAGGGCAGGGGCAGGTGGACCTGCCAGACCACTGGATGGTCTTAAAGGTCCCTTCCCACCCAAACCATTCTATGATCCTACCATCCTGGTCAAGGTGTGTGACCAGGCTGCAGGGACAAGTCACACCACACATGGTGTAGCTGACTCCTTGTTCAGGCAGTGCCACTGTCCCTCCTCTGGGACACTGTGACATGGTCACCACTCCCCACAGGTCCCCATCAAGGCTTGGCTGAGCACCTACACCTCCGAGGACACCTTTGAGTGGTTCAGCACCCTGCCTGGGGGCTTCCTGGTGAGTGCCCAGCCAGGAAAGCAGAGGGGACACAAAGTACATCTCATGGAGTTGGGGGTCTCCTAGTGCCTGGCCCACCATGGTGGCATGATGCCTGGGCACAGAGTCCTGATGGCTGTGCGTGATGGGACACAACACCTCTAAGAAAACCCAAACCAGTGCTTTAGCAGGGGGCTGAATCCTGCCCGGTTTTCAACCGGAGAGAGCACAGCCCCCTCCAAGCAGCCCTGGCTACCTAGTTTTCCCCTTTCCTTGCCCCCACAGCTGGAGTACACAGGGGCCAGCTCCGTGCAGCTCCGTTTCCTCCGCCTGCACAGCCACTTGGCCACCCAGAAGGTCTCCTACTCCTGCAGACCAGTCCCTGAGCAGGGCCAGCCCCAGCTGGAGAAGGAGATCCGCTTCCTGGCCGATTCCCGGGAGCAGAGCTATGCAGCCAGCCTGCAAGGCTGCGTGGTAAGCCTGGCCCTGGTCTGGACCCTTCTCTCTGCCTGGATGAGACCCCCCCCTGACATTTGCAGAGCCCCTCGGCCTGTGTTTGCAACCCCAGGGTTTGGGATAGAGCTGGGGGATGAAGCTTCAGGTGGTGGGACGGGGATGGGGAGGGAGAGCATCCTTTCCCCAGGCCTGGGAAGCTGCCCTGGTCTTGGGGAGCAGACTGGGATGTGGCAAGGGATGGGGTGGGCTCCTGGAGACATGGAGGGAGGCCACCTTCCTGGAGAAGCCATGCAGGGCTGGAGACCTGGGTGCATTGAGGAGACACCAGAGCAGCAGAGGGGATGGTGGACGCTCTGAGATGGTCCTTCAGGCCCCATGGCCGAGGGTTTCGGTGTCGTTCAGCTGCTCCCGGTGCTCGTTTCAGCTGGACAACGAGTCCTCCATCACCGACACCATCTTCCAGTTCGCCACTGAGGAGCTCTCCCTGCTGCCCCTGAGGGACCTGGCCGTCTTTCACAACGGCGACACCTCCCACCAGTTTGGTTTCACAGTCGGACCAGTTTGCTTCAGCTGAAACCCGTGACACCCAGACTGAGCCAACTGGTTCCCTCCTCACCCGAGACCTGTCCTGCTGGGGACGTGCTGGGAGGCTGGGGGGTGGCACCGGGCTCCCACCCACTCCCTGGAGCTCCCGGTCCTCTCTGAGACACGTGTTTGTAGCTGCAATTATGCCACGGACTACACTTCCTTCTGGAGTAGAAGAATATTGTTTACAAAAGTCATTTCTCTATAAATTATATATATTATATATGTATATATGTGAGAAGGTGCTGATTTAATGACCGGCTGGGGGAGGCTGGTGTAATTACAACCCTGGGGAACTGTCGGCTGAAGAGAAAAAAAAAAAAAACAAGCAAAAATACTGCTGGCTTGGGAGAAGGGGAAGGAAAGGGGCTTTTCTTTGCCAAGTGCACAAACCCTTGGAGACTCTTCCCGTGGGACCAGGCTGAGGAGCAGCTCTGGAGAGCCCTGGTAGCCCCGTGGTAAGTCCAGGTGGTGCTGCCAGCTCTTTGCAGGGCAAAGCCACTGCAGGTGAAACCATGGCAGGAAAAAACAACATAGAGCTCCTCCTCCCAGGGAGGTGAAAGGGGAAGAGGGGACGTCTCTACGGGGCCAGCGCTGGGGTTTTGGCTGCATCCTTGATGATGGAACCATGGAATGCTTAGAGTTGGAAGGGACCTTAAAGATCATTGAATTCCAACCCCCTGCCCTGGGCAGGGACACCTCCCACCACACCAGGTTGCTCCAAGCCCCCTCCAACCTGGCCTTGAACCCCTCCAGGGATGGGGCAGCCACAGCTTCTCTGGGCAACCTCCCAGCATCTTCACAAGGCAGAATGTCTTCCTAATACCTGATTTAAATCTCCCCTCTTTGAGTGTCAAACCCTTCCCCCTCCTCCTGTTGCTCCCCTCCCTCATCCTGGGTCCCTCCCCATCTCTCCTGGAGTCCTTTTAGGGACTGGAAGGGGCTGTAGGGTGTCCCCGGGGATGGTACCTCCCCCCAAACCGTTAGGTCTGACCGGGGGGGGGGCGGTTCCGGGGGAAAGGACACACACATACATACACTCACACACACAGACACACACACACACACACACAGACACACACACACACCCTGCGGGTCCCCTCCGCACTACAGCTCCCGGGGAGCCCCGCGCCCGCGTCACCGCCGCGACGGGGCGGGAGGAGGCGGGACGGGACGGGACGGGGCCGGGCGACACCGGGCCGGGCAAAGCCGCAAGGCAACGGGGACGGGCTGCACCGGGCCGGGCTCCGCACCGCCGC